CCTGATACTACTTACCCGAATGTTGCGTTTAGCAAACGCCGTGGTTTCCCCCGTCCTGGATATGAAATTTAGAGCTATTCCTGAGATCTTCAAGAGTATTGTATTTACCTGAGCGCAATTTCCTCGGTAGAATAGCTTAGCATCGCGGCAAGAGGGCTGCAAGCATCTGTTAACGAACGTACTCGGCCCGTTTCGTAAAGTAGAGAACATACATGATGGCAATGAAATTGATAACAAAAACTGCAATAGGGTCGATATGTGCATGGTGGACCGCGACTGGATGAGGCGTTAGCAAAAAAATATATCATGCCAAAGAGATTCCTGGTAAATTCTCTAAGAAAAACATACTCCCAACGGGGACCATGAGAAGTAATACATTAATCCAAGAATTTAGCACGGTAGCCTTCAACTGCCCTACAGCTGTAAATTTTTGTTTATCTTTTCCAGAATCTTCAGGCTCCAGTGGTGCCAATTCAGTATTACCACCGTTTCTGAAGAATCTCCGTTTTGTAGAAGCACTCTTTTCAGGGACCTCGTGTGATTGTTCTCCGTTTGTTGTTGTCAGAGGTGCAGCACTAGTCGTAGATCCTGCTGGTGTCATTTCAATAACGTTTCCAACCGATTGGCTTGAGGCTGGGGGGTTGGTATCTGTATGGTAGGGTGTAGAGAAGATGTTATCTCCCTCTTCTCGCCTTTCCCATTCAGGTCTCGGTATAGTATCGCCTTCTGTTTGTTCACGTGGAAACCCATCCTCTGCGCGCGATTCAGGGGTGCGCATAGAGCGGTACCGGAACTTTTTGAAAGGGTTCCGGTTGGATGTTGATTCCCCTTCATCATACCAGGCGAGATTTCTGGCTTGCCGTCGATGTATATCTATATCCACCATTAGTATAAGCCTTCGTCTTCATATGAAGTAAAAAATAATTGCTCGTGGGTGATTTAGAAAGGGACTACACACGCATTGCTAGAGCTCAGTGGGCTCTGCCAAGTGCCTTGGCCCCTGTCTATGTATGAAGAAGTGTTAGGGTTTTCGCGTCGAAGCCGCGAAAGGCGCGGATACGCAAAGGTATCTGCAATAATTTTGATTAAAAAATAATCAAGAAAGCCGAATATGGCGCCTGCAATTTATTGGGAAAATTTTGTATTTGTGGGGAGAACGAAAGTCAGGAAATTGGTGCTCCAAAGCATTTATTGAGAGGGAAATGAGTTGTTTGTTGCTCGGTGGAACTCCCCTGAGAAGTGCAGCCCTAAATTGCAAGCCACAACAACATACGTCAATGTGCTTTTGCTCCTGGCAAGGTGAATGCGCAATGCGCAATGATATCAAAGAAGCCTTGTTAGATCCATCGGATTCAGAACCAGCAGCACTGCCACATTTACGTTGGGTTCAATTATGAAAGAAAGAGCACTGTTGTGCACAAAAAAAGCAGAAAGGGACGCACGCAAGACATAATAAAAGTTAGGCTGGGCAAGCATTGGATGCTGTAATACCTACAGAGGGGCGCCTCTATGGATCGGGTCAATCAGCTTCCACCTTTCATGGTCGAAAACGATCGTCAGACACTATGTAAAATCCCATTTTAAGGCCGCTGTCGATATTTCAGATACCTGGCAGTGTTATCATGACCAGCGCCTTTTCCCATCGCTGTTGTTGGGAAGTCTGCACAAATCCGTGTGTTGTACAGCCAACATACGGGACCCATTTGTTGGTTTGCTTCCTGTAAGGTCCCGAACAGAAAACCAGATTGATGCCATCACATCTTCCGGCTTGGGCATCATCCCCAAGTTCCCGGAAATTGACAACGCATCACCGCTTTTCCTTGCTGATATATGTGATGTGACTGGCGGATCCAATCTCCAATTCCATTCGAGGCAGCAGATGTAAGCTTTGCAAGCTTTGGCTGCCCAGAAGTGGCTGGGGTTCGGGGCAATGCCTGAAAGCCAGTTGCTCATTCTCCTTGGTGTTTCAATCAAGCAAGGATAACTCCTCATTTGTCCCTCAAACATGGATTCTATTGGAAGGAGTTGGCAGAATTCTAAAATCACGTGTTATTAGCTAATCACATTATATAATCAAACCGACAAGGCAATCCAATCACAGCATTATCGTTGGACAATACTTCAGCAGAAACAATGTTATCAAATAGACCATCGTTTCGTCATGTTCCCCGATACATGGACTATTTGGTGGTAAATCATGCTCCCACATGGGCCTGTCAAGGGTTCGCATCTGAGCCAAGTTAGCACCCCAAGTATGGGAACAGCTGCGGAGGCGACCAATTTGGATGAAGACCATGCAGATGGAATCTCGAAGACCAGTGCCCCTGAATCACCGGCAGGACCCAACAGTCGCCCTTGCTCTCTCTGGGTCCATGATGATAACTTCTCCAGAGAAGATGTGCTGTTTAATATTAGCGCCTTTGGTGATATAGGGCTAAAGGTGGGAGACCTAGTTGAGCTTTCCACTCCCCGTTTCTCCCAAGGGGAGCTCCATGGGTCTTCCAACAGACTTGATCCGAGTGGGAGAACGCTACGAGATGCTGGTGATTCCGACCAAAGTTCCAATTCTGCTGCAAAACGCGTTGGTGGCCACAAGTCTCAATCCTCCTCGACCTATGGGCGGTATCTATTTCTGGTAAAGCCTTTAGCTGCAGATATTAAAGCCAGACACCCAAACCTGCAAATTTCGATCACAAGTAATATAGCCCAATATATTCGGGTTCAAAAACCACTCTCAAGCTCTGATATCTCTCAAGAATCGGCAAAATTCCACTGCTTCTCACGTGGAACTCATTTTTCGAGACCAGTTTCTGGTCCGATCCGATATGTGGGAGGTTAGCCATATCAGAGCTCGCAGATCAGCCTGTCTATAATGGACAGAAGATCACATTCATGGGGACCATCAAAGCAGCCGTCAAATCCATCATCCTCTCTGCGAGCGGCAAAAAGGCACTTTCAGGCTACTTTTCTCCGCGGACGATACCAATCTTTCGGAGTGAATCTGCTCGGTATGTCCTTTTCATTCAAATGTCGAAAGAGATGTGGGATTTCGATTCCGAAGGCACTGGCGACATTCTCTTTAGCCGGGTCATCAATAGCCTTCTCCCCGAACTCTTTAAGCGTTGGGCTGCCATCGATGCCCACCATCTGGTATCCATTGTGTTATTTACTAGAGTCCAGTATGATCTCTTAGCGGTGGATAACACCGGCTCTTCTTTCTTAAACAACAACAACCTACATCGGACAACCCGTGATTCCCGACCTGAGAGCCAAGATTTCTACCGCGTTGTGGTCAATGATATGCCGAGTGGCAAGTGGACGACGATTTTAGATGAATTAAAAAAGGAATTTAGGATCTTCCTGCGGGACGTGTCTATCCCTCCGTCACACTTCCCGGACTCACAGACATCGGCGGAAGACTCGCTCCCGGAAGATCCAAAGCACCCTCCAACTATATCTGGAAGGCCGACTTCTGCTCTGCGTGGTAATATATTGGAAGCAATAAATATTGCGTCATCTTACCTGGCATTTGAGCATATTGGCCGTGACCTTATACGGACAGGCACATCAATTGTTGTGATATCTCCTGGAACGGGCGTATTTGAAGTCTCCTATGAAGCACTAGCGTTGACTTCAGAAGTCCTCACTAGTCGTACCATTGGGATTGACCTAATATGTTTGAGCCCCATGCCACTGCATTCAGTTCCTCTATTTAAGTATCGTCTCCCGAGTGAACCTTCGTCGAGACCGGGTAGTTCCATCTCCAGGGATTCCATCCTCCGTCCGTCTCCTTCCGATTCTCATTTATCTGGCGGCAGTTTTTCTAGTAAAGTTTCCCGTCCTCGATCATCTAACGCAACGCTCGGACCTTCGTCGCAAGTTGCCACTGTTGCTGACAATTGGCGCTACGGGATTCCGCAATGGATTGACATTTCCTATTGGAACCCAAAAATTTATCGCGGCAGCCGAACAGCTGTGAATAAAATCACAAAATCCACTCTCCCGGACACCACGAAAAAACAAGTAAATACATTTATACCAAGGGTTAGGATGTATGAGATTCAAATGATGGGTGTCATGGAAAGCGAGCAATCAAATATCTGTGTGCCTTATCTGTCTTCAGCTGACATCCGCCTTCAAAAGTTTTCTGATTTATATCCATCTCCGCATGGGTCTTCGTATAAACCTCCGTTGACAGAGACTGGTGCTGGGTCCTTAATGTCAACTTTCAAGGATTCGAGAAGGAATATTCTGTCGATTCCCGCCACACAGCGGAAAATGCTAGAGTGGATGGATTCATATGATCATGTTATTTTCCACACAGCACCGAAAGAGCGAATGATACGAAGACCTTCAAAGGCTAAGCGCGTCGATTTTGAGACACCGGGAACTCGGTTTTATGAGCAACAATCAATTCGCTTCTCGACCAGTTCAGTGACGCATTCCGGCAATTATTCAACGAGCCCAAATAATAACCACCAGCGACCAGACGATGGAAGGTCGCATAATCAGAAGGCATACCCACCTGAACGGGTGCCCTTCAAAAAACCAGGCATGAAGAAAGCATCAAAGCCGACCAAGCCACGAATTTCCAGGTCGATTAGCTTTGCCTTACGTGGGCTAGGCCCAACACCACCTAGAGCGACTGCAAGTACGGAAATAAATAACGAGCACGCGAAGGGTCTGTCGACCACAAATAAGAAACCAGCTAAAGTTGGGGAGCTGCCTCCAAATTTCAGCATGAATTCTCCCATATCGGATGCCGTTTCCAACCATACCTTCAAATCCCCAGATCCTCCTCAGCTAAGCTTTACCCCTTCTAGTGATAACGCAAATGCTACTCCATCGAAACCCATTTCAATCCGAATCGCGAACAAGAAAGCAAAGGATGAGCATAATATGGACCCAAAAGATATTGATAGCTCATTTTCGACTACATCAACCGAAGTACATTTCGATCGAAGAGCAGGTGAAGAAATCCACGGACCTTTCCCAATGACCAGAACGGGTCGCAGATTTGATTTAGCTTTTACTGCGAGTCAGGATGAACCGACTATGGATTTTTCTCCGACGAAGGTGCTGTCTCCATGGATTTTACCTGTCAACCCGTGCAAACCGTCTAAGCGGAGGTCCACACGATCCAGTTGGTTCGGTCGCTGGCAACATGTATATCCCCGAATGCCAAGCACTGCATCTGTAAAGTGGAAAAGCTTGAAGTCGCCAGCAAGTCTCCCACTAACAACAGAGGAATTTCCAACAAGTGAAGAGCTCGCATCTCAGTATTATCAAACCCCGTACAGAGTCTACCAAAATGAAGAGTCTGATGTGACAGAAACTCCTAGGACTCGAGAAGCACTTCTACGTGAAATGGTGGCATTACGCCTTGCCCATGGTTTCCAAATAGTCGTTGGGAGGTTAGCTGACGCAGCATCGAGCCAGCATTCGCTAGGGTCGCTAAATATATTCAACACCCGCTCATTATCCAAGGATGGGATGACCATTTTTATGTCCATGGGCAACATCATTCACAAATTGGTCTGTGTTGCTGGAGGGGAGATAGAGGTTACAAAATTCACGCGTAAAACGGTGACAGACCTCTTTTCTGACGCCAAGGCTTTCGCGCTCAACTACGCTCCTGTGGTTAAAACAATATTGAGCGCAAATTATTGCAAACATACTATAAATTTGCAAATGCCTCGGGAAGACTATAACTGGAACTATGCGGACGCATTTTTGGCAGGTTATCGGGACCACTTAGTCAATTTCTCGGAACAACTTCGTTTCTGGCGCACTCGTTTCGTCTTGATACCGGTTCAGATACTGGCAAATGCAAGGCGCCCAATGCAGTCATATAAAGAGGATAACGAGGAGGAAATACATCTTCTTGGTATCACTCAACTCACTCAAATATGGCAACGGTATCGATACGATCCGCCAGAGGAAAAGCGGCTCCAGGCACCGACCCATAAAAAAGATCAAAATCCATTGGATATTATATATCAAACCAGTAATCCATCTGAGGTCGTCGCTGCGGAACTTGATAGACTTTTACTCGATGATCCAGGTCTTGATAACCCTTCTCTACAACTGCTTCCAGAGTCTGAATTGCTTCAAAGATCCAACATTAGTCTTATTGCTTTGGCGCAGGCTATACAGGGTGAAAAGGGTGTCAGAATGATGGATAGAAGATGGCATTGGCGTCTTCATTATAACTGCTTTGTTGGAGTAGAGCTCACTACTTGGATGCTCCAAAATTTCCGCGATATCGATACCCGCGAAGAGGCTGTTGAGTTTGGCAACGAGCTGATGAAGCATGGGCTTATTTGCCATGTCCAGCGAAGGCATAATTTCAGGGACGGCAATTATTTTTATCAGATCACTGATGAATATCGCATGGCTCGGCCGGAATCTCGAAGCGGCTGGTTCCAAACTCGAAAATCGATTCCTAATACTCCCATTAACGAAGGTGTGAAAGACGTCTCTCAGGCTGCGCAGGCAAAAACAATAAATGGAGCTGCAGATCCTGACAGCAGGGCGAACACACCTACCCCGGGGAAATCTCCCAGAACAAAAGCCTCTGTATGCCTGTCGAAGTCTATGAAAATCGATGTCGATACTCGCAAGCGTTCAAATCGTCCCGAAATAATCGAGCTTCATTATGACCGGTTGCATAATCCGGACAATTGCTTCCACATCAAACTCAGTTGGATGAACGCAACTCCCAAGCTTGTGGAAGATGCAATTGTATCGTGGGCCGCAACCGCAGAAAAATTCGGTCTCAAATTGGTCGAATTACCAATATCTGAAGCTTCATCCATCGTCGAAACCCAAGTTTTCAGACGTCCATATCCTGTGAAGCTAGCGATTGAGCCCCCACAAAGCCCAACCCCCACCATTTATAGCGCTACTTCTTTCGCATCTCAAGGCGTTTCCGACCGCCAGTTCTATCACAAGGCAATCCTGAAAAAATTTGACTTCGTCCTCGATTTTGAAGCTACTGATGCATTCCCCCCAGATGTTGACGTATCGTATTCCTGGGGTCGACTGGATTATCGATTTCCGCAGTATGTCCACCGGACTGGTGCCGTCCTTGCTCAGATCTCAGATGACGGCTGCTTCCTTTTGCTCGCGAACCGACTCTACAGCGCACGCGGGCCCTCCGTCAAAGAATCGAGCCGACTTGACAGAAGCGAATTTTACCGTCCCCGCGCCTCAACATACGATGCCTTGGACCGCGCTGGCTCCCCTCACCTGTCGCCCATTGTCCGCGCATCACTTGATAACTCACCCGGGCACGTTCCCCAAACCGAGCTTCCTTCTTCCTACCGAATTACCAGGGAGATCGGAGAGGAGCTCAAAGCATTCTGTAGTGATGTGGAACAGCTAGAGAAATTCTTCGAGGAGGCAGCGGTTCATTTGAAACCCACTTCTTCCAAAGTCAGTCCGAGTGTGCCATCTACCATGGATGCGTCCATCCCGACTTTGGAGTTACCAGCTAGCCTTGTTGGGCGGCATGTTTCTCCGCCGCCAATTATGGAAGCACCAGAGACGGACGCCGGGACTATTGATGTGAGGATGCACGATTCTGTTAGCCCTAAAACTAAGGCAGTCAAGCCCCCCCCCCTCTAAGATGAATAGGTCCTCCAAGTTAACTTCGTTCTTTCTGCCTTTATCTAAAGTTCCATAATTGCAATATATCCCAATTTGTGTGAATTTTATTCTTATTCACCCAGTGATTCTAGCTCTCTTGTCTATCTCGCTCACTTTCGCAGCTTTTTTTGGTTGATAAATCGTCTACTGGCATTGCGGACCAAATTCGTTGCTAACATTCCCAAAATTGAGCTGTGGTTATATCTGATTCTTGTTTTCCATCCACTGTGTTAGGGATTGCTTTTGTGTATGATTAGACTCGTTTGAAAATTTGCTCGATGTCTCATTGACAGCTATCGAGATGTTTTGTCGTTCAATATGATAGCCATGAAACTACGAACGAGTATGAAATCTGATGATATATACTTACATGATATGTATAGCGCGCACGTGAAAATATAATTGACAACAGTGTTTCACAGCACGTAAACCTATCCCACCTCGGACTAACTTACAATCTACATATCCGTACTCAAGGAAAAGGAATTTATATATAGCACCCAGTAACGGCTGAATGCCATTAAAATTCGGAGAAGATATGATGAATGTATGTGGAAGAATAGCGGCTGAACCGCGTTTCGCAGCGAAGAAGATTGGAACGAAATGTATGGCCCGAGAGAAAATAAGTATACAGAAAGTTGAATGTGGAATATGCCAATATAGAGAGATAGCGATGAGTTAAAAAATATTAAAATAGAGCGACTATAAAATCACGTAAGCTCCACAGAGATGGACTTCTGGAAAAGAATTAACAAGACTTTGCATCAAGCTGAAAATTAGCAGGGGCTGGGATGTGTGCCACTAATACAGAATAAACACAGGATGAAAGGGTAGGGTATCATATGCTCGGGGATAATGTTTTGAAGAAAATTAAACCAAAACTTGAGGTCTCAGCGCGCCCTCCGGCTCATGTGTTGTTGTGGGAAACAACCACACCAAAAGTATTAAAAAGTAGAAATATTTACAAAATACAGTAGGACCACAATCAATGGTGAACGGGTGAATGGCTGAAGCGAGAGAGAAAATTTCCGATATCAGATAAACTTGAGACAGACAAGCCCGAACTGGAGGGAGTATTTGCTGTGATGTTACGAAACGGACCAAAGGAGAAGATGAGATTAAATGGCATGAGGCAGAAAATGTTAGCAAGCTTCCTCGATATCGGTGAGCCATTTTCTTATCCCTTCTCTCAAGGTGTTATCGGCAACTGCGCCTGAACCTTTTCCACGGCGGGCGGAAATTATTTTCGGTGAATCGCCAGTCGCACAGGAACTTGTTCTTTCCTGGCAACGTTCTGCTGTTACACTGCGGGACAACTTCCTCAAGAGCACCTAGGACTATATGTCGACATTTATTCCGCGGGACCTCGATGGATGAGACAGGCTCTGCCTGTGGATTGGAAGATTGTTTATCTGGCTCTTGGTTGCTCGTCGCCTTATCCTTACGATTCCTGTTTGGCGACGGTGTCCTAGAATGAACAATAGACGATTGCCCACTCCGGGCTAAAACTTTCTCAACGGCATCAACCAGGGTTGGGTCAAGGTCCATAACTGGTTCTTCAATAAACATCTCTTCTACATCAAATGGATCTAATTGCGGTGACCGTGGAGATGTAGGTGTCTTGGTAGACCCAGAGAAAAAATTTGGAAATTGTGAAATGGAAGATGGTGTTTCAGGAGCTTCGTAGATTGAAGGTTGGCGGGAATTATTTTGAGACTGGGAAGCTGTTCGAGATACGTTGCTGGTGATTCTACGCCGCAAAGACACTTTCTTCACAGTAAAGGTTTTCGTATCCGCGATGAGTGTGGTGCACACATCAACCCATTTCTCATGGACAGTTCTGTCAAAGTCAGAAAGGAATGGTAAGAGAATATGAGGGGGAGTAGGTTCAGCAGACATCGCGCGTTTGATATCTGCTTCCAATGTGCTATACGGGTGGACAGCTTGAAGAAGGAAATCTTCATGGTAGTGCTTTAGCCAACCTGCGACATTGACATGTACTCCATCGTAGTCCCTATTATTCGAGAGATGGAATCCAGAACCTGAACTATGAACGGAGCCAATGCCATCAAGACTTGTCATTGAGGTACGGGTCTTTTTGGGTGAAGCTAAGGTTGAGTCTCCTGATGAAGAGAGAGAGATAAAACCAGGTAAAGGTACCTCAACGTCGATCACTCCATCATGCAATCCAACAGAGAGCTTCATGGGAGAATTGGGTGTTTGTACATCTGGTTTTGTTCTCGCTTTTCTGGAGTCAGCAGATTCAGCTAAAGCCTTACCAGGTGGAGGAAATGTTGGAATCGATATATTATCGGATGTTTTGGCAGTATCCTTGGCAGCAGCTTTCCCAGTCTCATCGTTTATTGCTTCCATCGTGTCTTGGATTTTATCAGGGACGGCGGATTGGGCTTTGCCTTTTAGGCTGCCTACTGGCGGTGAATGACCGCCGCTTGAAGCAGCAGTGGGTTCGCGGGAACCCCAAAACCCCGAAAGTAAGCCACCCCACCTACTAGATGGTTGGTATTCACCCCTTTCTGAGCCGAGGGTGGAGCTTTCACTTCTACGGAGGTTCTGGATCAGATTGGCTGAGGCTGCGCTTCCATTAATATCTGAAGCTAAACGCCTCCCCCCACCAGCACCACGTTTATCTCGTTGCGATGCAAAGTGTGGAACTGGGGTCGCTGTGCCAGGGGCAGCAGCAGCAATAGTAGCAGCGGCGCTCTTTCTGGAGCTGGCAATGTTGGACGGTATGGGTAGACTGGCTGTCCTTATTGATCGAACATCGGAGTCCCTCTGGGATTTGTAATGGTCAGAAACAACTTTGACGAAATCAGTGTCATCAGATGGCACAATTCCGGCTTCAGTCGAGGAAGCGCTTGGTGAGCGTCGATGCCCGTCGATCTCATCATCGTGAAGTTGGCGAGCTCGAGTTCGTCTATTTATTGTGCGCCGAAGAGATTCCTGCCTCAAGAGAGGTACACTGGGGGGGCTCTGGGAGACATGGCGTAGAGAAGTTGACGTGCTAGGTCTTAAAGGGGATGCATATGCGTCCGATCGTTGCTGCGCTGGTAAAAATGCAGACAGAACAAATATCAAGCGTCTGGCAGTCATTTTATCAGTTGAAACAATAACCGTTCGACTGGGTATAGATAGTTCTGTATCTTGATGAGCCCTCTGCTGTAGGTGAAATCGTCGCTTGTACCAGTCAGGGCCAAGGGAGCTTAACCATTCGGTATGATTCCCCAAAAATGCGGTTATTAGCACGAGGAAGAAGAAATTATGTTCCTTATCACTCAGTAACTTTGCGATCCACCTCGCTTCTTCTCTCCAAACACCCCATCGGCTTTGGCCTGTTGCAACGTGAGGAATTCGAAGTGCCGTGCTGATCCTTTGAGTGGCCCGGACAGCCTCGGATCTAAGGCTTGACCCCTCTGTTAACGCCCTTGGAGAGAGTTGCACAATTGTTTGGTTTGTTCGCTGCATGTTAGGTGCTTTAGCAGGTTTCGGTTGTTGACTTGAAAAGTGGTCAACTCGTTTCAGAGCTGTAAGAATTTCTTTGCTTGCTAATTTCTCGAGGTGTGACAAGGTGCGTGTGATGACATCCCAATGATCAACCAAGATATCGATTCTCTCATCTAGATTTGAAGTCGCTGCTAGTCCAGCATTGTCATCAAAAAAGCCCTTGATGAATTTATGATCCGAATCAAGGGAAGCCGAAATCAAGTTGGAAGGCTGTCCTGCAGTCCCAATCCGGGACGATTGACCGCCATTACTGCGACCGGCAAGTGGCAGTTTAATCGTGATTGCAACCGCATACATGGGTGTCTTCTTTTCCTTTATTTTCTTCCGTTTCATTGCGTCCATAAATGGAAATTCCGAGTCCTTAAATGGCTGAGAATTTGGGGAAGATAATTGTTCCGAGGGCTCTATTGAAGAGTTGCGACTCTCAGGAAGGTTTACACTGAACATTCTCGTCACAAGAACGGTCACTTTCACGGGCGCAGTGAACCTCAGATCACCTAATTTTTCCTGGGATGAACTGGACGAGTTCGAACTAGGTCCACTAGGATAGGCGCGGGGGAGTGTAAGGCGGCGATTGAGGCCGTGAGGGCCGAATCCTTCGACATCTCCAGCTGATTCTGTTTCCGTTGGAAGGATATGCATTTTGGTGGAAGATTCACGGTAGCTGAAAGCACTGCTGCCGAAAATACAGTTCAAAAGGCCAGATTCATTTGAATCAGCGCTCGTGCGACTTTGGTAATGTCTATTATCATCTGAGGTGGGCAAAAATGCGGAACTTCGATACCTCGCACGGAATAAAGCGCCCGACATCGAGGAGTCAAATTCTCTGAGACTCGATGAACCGGAAAATTGATTTACATCTGATGCATGGGGCTTGTGAGCCGTAGGCCGTTTGGTAGGTTTTGAGAGGCTCGAACTCCGAGAATGGCTACGCTCTTGTTCTGACGGCCGTTGATTTAGGCCAAGTCCGACAATACCGCCTGGGGTGCTTGCATCTTGGGTGTCGAGAAGGATGCAGGGCTCATCACGATCACCCAGTGCATTCTGAGCAACGATTACTCTAAAATCCTTTGCTGCATCTAACTCGAGTCCACCCCTGTCGTCGAAGCTGTTGGCAGCTGAAGCATTTGGAGACAAAGCACTAGTTTGGAGTGGATAGGCGTGAGTATTCGATCGTCGAAGATGAGTAGAATCTGGGAACAAGAGCCCAGACGTATGCTCTTCCTCAGTCACAGATTCAAGATGAGTTGAATTCCGAGAGCCGTACGCAGCAGGATGGAGCGACGATGCCGCAGTGTTGAGAAGTCTTCCCAACATGTTGGGAGTCAGAAGAACGAGCGGCGTTTTAAAGTCAAATGTCGAGAGGTAACGTGGAGCGATTTAGAAATGTCAGCCAGAAGGGAGCCTCCATATGATATCCATTTGTAAAAACCATCATCCGAATAAGACGAGCTGGCTGTGATATGGTGCGGGGAGACCAGGATGTTGGAACTAAACTAAACCTGATGCTTGGAAATATGACGTTTTGATCAGGTTCCAGAGGCAGGAAGCGCAAGGCGCAGACCTGAATACTCGGTCAGAACCGAGTATGTCGCCGTCAGACTGCCGCAACCGATGAGGCGGAGCGGGACAGAGCACTTGCGGTGCGATTGACGATGGGGACGAAGTGTGTGGATGGCGGGTGGCAGCGGATAGTGTGGACAAAAGCAAGCTCGACTCGGCCAAGAGGCGGTGAAGATGAGGAGGAGGTGAAGATGAGGAGCTGGCCGGAGCCTCATCAGCTAAGGACCCAGCCACCGCAACACGTGATGGCTATATCTGTTAGGGGGTACTACGGCTACCCTATCACGTGCCCCCCAACATATTGTATTGCTCTCGCGTAGTTAGTTTATTAATACATGCAGTAACAACGAACGTTATCCTCCTACAATATCAAACCTACTTACTTTTGACGTCCGTCAACAACCAAGACATGGACAAGAGCACAAGAGCACAAGAGCACCGCGTTTCTGCGATGTGGAACCGGTGGCTTAAAGTGCTGTACGGTAAATCATAGATCATGGCGCCAGCCCCATGCAGCAGTATGTGTTCAGCATTACCCCTCCATCATGCTTGATCTTGGGGTCGCCCGGGCTGTTTCGAACATCATTCAGTACCAGTACGGAGTAATGGAGTTTACCACCGATCAGGAATTTTTCACTTCTATGTCCCCGCATGGGGTTTTTTTTTGACATATCGCCTCTTCCCAGAGCACTCCTAAAGTTGGTTACTCGAATCCCCCGCCCGAGGTTTCAGATGCTACTGACTACTGGTCCACTTTATCATCGCCTCATTCCTTTTTTTTTTTTTTTTTTTTTTTTTTTTTTTTTTTTTCATTTCCTTTTGGCTGCATACTACTTTTTCATCATTTGATATGTGAACATTGAACGTTTAATCCGAGCTTTCTTCGTTCCCCTTTGATCGGTATTGTAGCTCGGCATCTCCCAATCCCTCCTCATGAGCGGTTTGTGATGATAGAAAGCAAAATGAGAATCCATGTATTATACATATCTAGCTCCTGCTACCTTTTTCTTTTCAGGTCTTGTGCACGCTTTAAAATCCACTGTATTAGGTGCTTTGTGCTCTCACCACGGCATCTAAGTCTGCATTTGAACCGCCTTCAAAGTAAAGCTCCAAATCATGCTTACAAGACCTCTTTTCTCCCCCAAGAACTGCCTTTGGCAGTGAGCTAAGAGCTAACATTGATTGAGGCGCGCTTTGGTTCTTCGGTGGTTTGATTTATCAGAGTTGAGCACACGGAGGCGTTCATTTAACTCAATTCGGACCCCCTTATCACCGTCGTACTTTACAAACACTCTCATAAAGCAAAACATTTTGTTCGTAACTCCCCTATGACTGCGCGCTATAACCTTAATCGCAGCATTGCGGTCAACTTACCTCCTCCGTTTTTACCAAAACTCAGAATATAGGCTTTGCTTGACTGCGATGAGAAGCATCTTGCTGCCAGCTTCATTCTCGCAAGCTTTTTTGCTAACTAACCTTTCCATCCCTTAAAGCTTAGTGTCTCAAATAAGGACACTCCCATCTATCAAGTGATTACTTCGTGCTCTGTCCTTAATTTCTCACAGCAAGAAGCTTGAGAATAAAATATCAATTTATTCTCACATATCGACCAGTATTCCATGCTAATTGTCAGTCGGCCCTACAGCTTTCCCTCTCAAAGGCTACAAGAGTGTCTCGTGTCAGTCTCATCCTATGCATAACAGATCTCTAAGCCGATATATTTACTCGCATTTCCATATGATCTTCTTTTAACCCTTTTCTCTCACTCTTCAGCTATCCCAGTTCTATATATTTGGTTTAACAAAGCCTCTGCTTGTTAGTCTAGCTAACTCAACCAGAAGTGAGCCGGTTCGAATTCAAATAACCGGTTGTTTTTGGTTCAAGTGGCCCATCATTCGAACATTGCTGAGGCTGTCTTCAAAAGTTAAGCATGGAGGCCTCCACGAACGATACTGGCATTGGCACTCGAGTCTATTTGTCTACTATTGGAAATATTTCTGCTCAACCATGCGCCAATGCGCAGTTAATGGCACGAGTTCCTGCCCAACTTACATCTAGAATGATGGGAAACTGATCTACTTTCGCACAATCACAGGATATAGAGATGCTTTGCCTTGACCACCTAAGCAGTCCAAATGATAACAATCTCGAGCCCAGGCAATCCCAGCAGCCTATTTACGATGCCAATTCCAATTCCCGGTATGAACACCCCTGCGCTTCCAATTGATGTAGCTAACGATATGCAGTTCCACAGATGAACATGGTGGTGGATTCCAGCGCCGGAAGTGAGTCCTATCCCAAGACACCAAATTGAGGGAAATTTTTATTGATACTTAGTAAACTATAGTGAGGATAGCCTCTTTTGCTCCCCAGGCCCAGACGACAATATGGGGTTATCAAGTAATGTCAATCCGTGTCCCGGCCATCTAGCATTATCTGGAGACCCGGCAACCTATGAGCAGCACGAACAAAGAGATATTGGACCTTCGATTCTTTATGGCAATGACATTACTGAAACTACTCGAAACCGTAAACGCACTTTAGTATCTCCGTTTAAGTTGGACGAGACATGTACTGGATCTAATGCCTCTCATGAACCGATAACTAAGGTGAGGATTTTCTGGATTTTCTCTTTTCTTTCTAATTTTCCTTTTGTATAGCTGTTTTCTCACCTGTGGTAGAGTATCAAGGCAAACCCGGAAAAGAAATGGCCCCAATATCAAACGAGGGTCGAAATCCTCACGGAAATATTGGCAAAAGAATATTCCCACGTTGTCCAGGCTTGGTGCAAACAACAGCATTCAGCGCAGCATTCAGCATGCGCAATCCAACGCGGAGAGGCCTGAAATCCCATCCTACTCAACCAAAAACTGGAATCAAGCGTTAAAAGATATGGTGGCAAATGCTCCAACCGAGACCCGGGAGGAGGCTCTAACAGATAGACAATTCTTTAATCAGGCGTTGCTCGCATTCACGGAAAAACCGAAACTAGATGGACGTGGTGGTTGGTTACATCCGAATATGGCCACCTCTCTCTTTCACTACCAGGTGAAAATTCCCATTTATACCTCTGTTCTCCTCCAGCTAACCTTCTAGAGCTAATAGGGGCAGGATTTATGGTAAATTCACAAATTCCCTTAATACATGGAAGTATTTGGCTAACAGGGTACAGCGTAATCGGGAAAAAATCCACGATACCCTCCTTTTGGCGGGCTTCCAATGTGACGAGATGGGCTTCGGGAAAAACTATCCAGAGCTATAGATCCATGACAACGCTCCTAAAATATGGATAAACCTAGCTAACCAAGGCCGAAGTCAACATAGTGGATGATCAAGAGATCAACCAAGGGACCGACAATGTGACACTGGTTGTGGCACCATCTCACCTTACAAAACACTGGTATTGATTTCACAGTTCAGAGCGCCGTATTACAAACCTAACTCGAAAATGTAGGAACGACCAGTTTGCTCAGCACTGCAAAAAGGGGGTTCTTAAACCTGTGATGGAATACTATGCTCGTTACAAACCTATATCCACTGACGATATTGGACTTTTCCGCAGTTGCAGCGTAATTTCAGGGGCAACGATCAATAACAAGCATATGGGCGAACGCTAACTTGGTTCAGAATAACGACATACTCTGAAGTGCGATCTTCTACCCCCAAGTTTAAACCCCCTTCCCGGCGTCATCACAGAAAACGACAAAAAACAACTTCGGATGGAATTTATAGAAAAGAACAAAGGCCCTCTTCATCGCATGAAATTTAGGAGAATTATTCTGGACGGCAAGTACAGTACAATTAACAATCAGTATGGCCGAATTCTAAATTTAAAGCTGATGGATCATTTAGAGGCCCACGAAATAAAAAAACAATGACCCGCAAACCAGTGTTGCCGTTCTTATGCTTTCTAGGCATTGCCGTTGGGTAATTTCTGGAACCCCTCTTCACAAGTACGGAAATATAGCTATGCTTTTTAGTCTTAATCTGGATGCTAATGAAATTGCTACAGTGGCACCCATGAATTATATCCATACCTTCATTTTCTTCAGGTACCACTGGAAGGTGATTACAAAAAGTTCGTGAAGGAACAACTCAAGGTCTGCTTGTTCATAATTCCTTCCATCCAAACCATTCTAACGTGGATTATTTCTAGTACCATGACACCGAGGACCCGTGGATTAACACTCTGCTGCGCACATGTATTTTGAAGCGTGGTCATGAAGAAACATTGTTTGGTGTTCCAATTCTCAAACTTCCGGATGTAATGGGTAGAAACATTGTGATAAGTTTCAGTGCGACAGAAAGGGAGCTCTACCAGAAGGTTATTGCGATGTACTTGGAACAACATCACGGTGATCCTTCCTCTTATTGATTGTCAACAAAATGATATGTACTTATAAAAAGCAGTGTTTTCGAGTTCCCCCGGAAATCTCAAAAATTGAGTATCAAAGCCATATTACCTTGCTTCTACGGCTTCGGATGTTTACGAGCCACCTACTTTTAACGTAGACGGTGCTTGAAGACTTCCTAACCGTTCGTGAGCTCCAGTCGCTTCGAAGTAGCCTGGGTGAATGCCTAGAACGAAATGATGCGTCTATTTGCAGTTTACTTGAAGGTCTCATTCGACAGCAAAAGTTGCGGGGAAATAGTCAAGAACAGCCATCGACCCCTCCAGAATATCTGCCGAGTCCCGAAGCTTCAAAAAGCCCTGAAGCGTCAAAGCTGCAAAACTTAGTCAATGGTTTCGTTGATGCCCTCAAATCTCCCTGCAGAGAGCAGAATGTGTCCCAAGAATGCATCAAATGCCACCGTGAACCAACTTCAGCCCTTCTCACATCATGCTTGCATATTTACTGTCAAGATTGCGCTAGTGAGGCTGTGATTCAGGCTGGATCTGTTTGCGATTGTGGCGCGGCTGTCCACCAAACTGTATCCTGTAAGTCTTTAGAGTCGCTCATCACTAGCGCCACACCCCAGCTGAAAGGAAATCCAGTTGGTATGGTAAATTCTCACAAAAAGTCAAGAAAAAAGACCGATAGAATGGGCTCTGAGGTTGAGAACTTAAACGAAGATATGAATTGGGTGGCTTGTGTGGGCCATCTAATGCCAGGAGCAAAATTAACGGCAATCAGCTCTTGCTTGGTAAAATGGTTCAAAAATTCTGTTGAAACGAAAGTGGTGATATTCACCCAGTTTCTTGGAATGGCCCACGTTCTTGGCTCAATGTGTCAGGAAAATCGCTGGGGTCATCTGTCAGTAAGTTTACACGGACTCTAGTTGTTTCTGGTCATCTATTCCGTGTTTCTGTCACTCACTACCGACGAAGCTCACTGGCAAAATGCCGATTCGACAACGCGAGAAAAGCATCGAAGAATTTTCTAAAGACCCGGAAATCCGCATTTTGGTATGCTCTCTCCGAACAGCGGGTACTGGGCTTGACCTTACAGCTGCAAATAAATGCATTTTCGTTGACCTCTGGTGGAATGAAGCCATCGAGCAACAAGTATGTACTTGACTCTTAATTACTTACCAGCTCCCCATCTCTATTTAACTGCAATGCTGACCATATATATCAGGCATTCTTCAGACTTTTTCGTATTAACCAAAAGCGGAAGGTCGAGTTTGTTAGGGTTGTAGTACGAAATAGCATCGATGACCGTTTGCAACTTTTACAAGAGGATAAATCGAACAATATTGATGGGGTGCTGGGCTCTGAAGTCCTTAGTTCACGAGACTCCCTTACGGGTCTCTGTACTGTTCTTGGTGTTGAACAGGATGACAGCACGGAAACCGGGTATAGATTTATTTCAGATGAGGAGGCCGAGCGGAGGTGTGAAGCAGCGAGAGTAACTACACTTGATGGCGAATTTAGCAAAGATCCTGGACATGCTGAAGCCGATAAATGCGAAAGCTCGGCCAGCAACACTGGTTCCAGGGATTCTCATATTACTCCTCTGGGTGCTTTGGGGATCGAAGGTATTGGGAGTACTGAGACGTTCGCAAATACCACTTAGTGAAGTGAGACTGTTAATCGCGGAGAATCTTGCGAGGATCCTAAAGGCCTTGGAGATGGCAAACTTGCTAAAACCACAGAAGGCGCTGTTCCCGTTATTGCCGAGGTTGAGGGCTCTGCCCAAGCTGCCCATGAGCGAGTTTTCTATCTTCCCAAGTGCTTTGAAGGTGCCATATCTGCCGAAACAACGATGGTACTGGCGTTCCCGACATTTTAGGGACTATTAATGATTTTGACAACTGGACCCTGACTTGCTCTGATATTCCCATGAATCATGGAGCGTTAAGGCCAGGGGAGATGCGTGAAAATCAAAAGGTTTTCAACGGAGTGAACCGTACGCCTGAGCTCAGAAGTTTCTGGTCTTTCCTTTGTGGATGGATTTCCTATCCGTTTTCTTTTCTTTTTTTCTTTATGATTTTTGGTTGTTATTTAAGTTGAGAAACGGTCGTGGTCAACACCCCTATCTCACCAAGACTGATCCGCTCAGTTACGGCTCGGATAAAAAACGCCATATTTTTTTTAGACGTCTTCGATTCCTAGTTTCTTTTCTTCTCCTCCGCTTTCCGCTGGAATCGATTCTGATTCTCCTTTTTTTGCTTCTTTTTTCAAGGTGGAACCACAACTGGTTTCTTTCCAGTAGGAGAAGGCATACACTCTCCTTCTTTACTGACTTGAAGACTGCTGAATACCCTGAATTCTCCTCAGTACTGAATAAAAGTCGTTTGTTTACTTTCAATCTGCTCCAAAAATTTTGCTTTTGTGATTCAAGCCGAAGACTGAATGTTATTTGGAGGAGAGTGAGTCGAGTTGAACTTGGAACAATTTAAAGATATCTCGCAAACTGCAGAGAAGCAAATTTCAAATCACAATCGAACTTCCTGAAAACTTGTAATTTGAATTGCTCACACATATTTTCGAAAAAGGAAAGGCAGTTAAAAAAGAAGTCAATATGTGATACAAATGACCATGTGCAAACCGCAAAAATAATGGCTAAAACGCGCGTCTATAAAACCATTACAAACCCAACCCTAACCCACTAACCACCATACACCATGCATGGCCTCATAGATGAATGACAACTACCGAGAGACAGTGAAATTATTGCATATGACAAGTATTTTGGGGTTTGTAGCCCAAGTATCGACGTCTGAAACAATACCGCAGGTGATTTTTATATCTCCTCGACCGCACAGTTAGGATGTAAGACGTATACAACTCTTTGCTCTTGTTGCTGTTGCTGTTGGTCGTCCGACTCGACCAGGCCTTCGCCCCGGATGTGCATGAGAATATTGTCCTGTTAAATTGCATTGCCAAGTTAAATTTCCGGGTTTTAATGTTTACCAGCCGACAAGGGCTGAATAGCGCCCAACAAACAAAAGTAACTTACCTTAACCATCCTCTTGAGGACTTTAACAGCTAGTGACCGCTCAGCTTCCATCTCCTCCTCGCTATTCAGCTCCGATTCAATCTGCTCAAGATACCAAACTATCAAATCTTCCTGCTCTACGCCATCCCCTGCATTGGCCTCATCGTCGTTGACCCGTCGGACAAGAATGTTAAGGATTCGCATATACTTATCATATGTAATCTTCGTCTTCTGGGTTTGAGGCTGCTGGGTTGTGACATGAGGCGCATTGACATGATCGTCATCATCGCCTGTACGCATCGGGCTATCCCCATCTCTATCCTGGTGAGGTGCCGCATCGCGAATTCCAGAGGCGCTATCGGCATTTTGGTCACCAGTTCCATCATCAACCTCAACGTCGTCCTTTTCAACGGTAACAATGCTCTGCCTGAGGAGGTCGAACGCTTCCTTGACAAAGCTGGGCACGATCTCTTCGACACAGTTGGCCTTCGCAACCGCCTCAGATAATCGAATCAAACTCTCTAGCTGTCTGACCGTAATTCGATAACTGCTTCTTCCAAGCCCACCTTGAGCGTCGTTGGCACGGAGTTCCTTGTATTTCTCCACGAGCAGCTCCTTGGCTTCTTCAGTAAAAACAGGTCGAAAAGTTCGAGCAAATCTGATGTATCGCTGCAACTGCTCGGTGGTGAGGTCAGGTTCGACAGCATCGTCGCGATTCATATGGACATTCACAATATGTTCAGCGAGGTTTCTATCCACGGCTTCATTCGGCTCATCGCGGATGACGAAGAACAGATCAAAACGACTCATGATGGGGGCGCTGAAATTGAGATTTGCCCGGAGCGTGGCTTTGGGGTTGTATCGCCCACCGATTGGGTTAGCAGCGGCCAGAATACTTGCGCGTGCATTTAGGGTGGTGTGAATGCCAGCTTTAGCAATAGAGATGGTCTGTTGTTCCATTGCTTCGTGAATGGCGACTTGGTCGCTAATATCCATCTTGTCAAATTCATCAATGGCACAAATGCCGCCCCCATTCTAGAATTAAGGGTCAGCGTTATTGTAGAAAAGTGCAAGGATTCTGAAAGGGTTAGCCAACTCACCGCGAGCATCAAAGCGCCAGCTTCAATAGTAAATTCACCAGTCTCTGGGTCCTTGACAACTGAAGCAGTTAAACCAGCGGCCGAAGATGCTTTTCCACTGGTGTATACAGCTCGAGGATTCAATGAACAGATATACCTTTCGTAATGTTAGAAGAGTCTAGTTTAGAGAGAGGTATTCATATGTCTTACTTTAAAAATTGGCTTTTACTTGTGGAAGGATCTCCGACTATGCATATGTTAATGTCACCACGGATTTGCATATTTTCCTGCTGTGTGGTTTTGGATACTCCTCCAATTAACTGTAATAGTAGGCCCTTTTTAATAGCTCTATGACCGTAAATCATGGGAGCAATCGAGTCCACTAATCGGGAATAAATGTACTCAGAATGAACTAAATTTTTAAGATCTTGTACTTCGTAAGGCGTAAGTGTTTGAAGAAGGTGGTCTTGCGCCTCATCTTCATAAGTTTCTAGCTGATCGGTCTGATTCAAGGATGCAAGGATATTTTGTGATTGACCATTAAGTTGCTGGGAAGAGGCACGGCCGGGGGTGGTTAGATCGGGAGTTACCATACAGGCAACGAAGGCAAGGCGGTAGGTGAGGTCGCGAACACCCAGGGATTTCAAGCCGCTAACTCCATTCCCTCCGACATCACTCCCACGGAAATTCCCGTTGTCTCGAGTTGCTTCTGGACGGACCCCAGGGAGTCCTAGCTGGCTAACATCTGGGACAACGATAAGGGTGCCAGTGAAAATACACCTCTCTCCAGCTTTGGCTCGATCGACCATCTCTCCTCGTAAAATAATGTCCATGGTGCGTGGCATACTCCCTGTTGGTATTTCATGGGACGATTCCTGCAACTTCACTTTCTGCCAATCGATGAATGTGCTCTGACGGATATCTAATCGCCAACCGATACGATTCCCACATGTTGGATTAGGGCATTGTGTCGGTTCAGTATATTTAAACGTTTGTTCCACTTCTTCAACAGCCGTACTACAGCTCTCGCAAATGAAAGTACCTAACGCAAGTTCCGGGCGGACTTCAGAAGTTCTAGTTACCGTCCCAGATATCGAAAGAAGCTTCCCTATCTGAGCAGTTCGGAGTTGTCGTAGTCTGGACACTAGTGGTAGATTGTAAAAAGCCAGGGAAAACACTTTGTCTGTTTGTTGGTGTCTTGTCTTTCCTGCCAACGAGTCAGGCTCAGTGCTGTCGGCGGCTAAGGTCGACGTGCCGGCCTGGGATGACGTGCTGTTTATCTGTCGATGTTCTCTAAAATATTGGGGTTCATATTTGGCGATAAGATTGTGGAGAGCTTTTGTCAGGTAAGGCTGGAATCGGTAATATTGATTGGCAATGGCATCAGCCAGAATCTGGTTTGGAAGGGAGGTGAGGTGTGTAAAGTCGACGTAGAGAGTGGAAAGCTGGTATCGTTGTAACCCATGAATTTGTGCAATATAGTATTTGTTGCTGAGTATTTCGGACGACGGAGGCACGCCTGAGGATGAGGGCTCTTCGACATGTGTCTCCAATAATTCTTCAAAGGCCTGCTGAACCTTTTCGCCCGCAACGTCCTGGACGGGTGGGGGCCCTCTCCCGTAGAGCGGGTGTCTTGGACGTCTAGGAAGGGAACCGCCTGGGCCAACAACTTGATCATCCGCGAACCCCTCCGCCTCGCTCATTTGGCCATTGCTTTCTGAGGGGGGATGAGGCCGGGAGGTGGGTGGCTGATCTGATGATGGAAATGGTCTTTCCCTGGTTCCTGCGTTGGAGCCCAATTCGGACTGCAGAATAGCGTCAAACAGACTGGCCATGGTGGCTCTCACTGGAATTCTGATATCAAGGGGGTGCTCCGTCGAGGGGTGTAAAAACAGGGGCTCTCTGAAAGTAGTCCCAATATGACAAGAACCCAGAGCTCGAGCAGGTGCGTAAAGAAAGGCGATTGGGACACTTGGACCGTTGAGAATGATGTTCAAACAAAAAGTTCCAAGTGGGAGGAAACGCGTTGCAGTCGCGAACGCGCCACGGAATTACAACGGACCGATCAACACGTGTAAAGTGGTTTTGCTTAGTCATCGATTGTCAAATGACCTTTCCAGCTTCATCTTTTCCGATTCGGGTAATTAGGGAGATGCATTCTCCGTTAATTCTTCGCTGCTACGCACGACTCCGCTCGCGTCTTCGAGCAGACACATTGCCGAGCTGCTGCCAACTTCAGCTATTGCAAGCACCCGTTGTGTTGAGTTTCCAATTGTTGATTATAGTTACGATCTACACATTGAGCCACAGCAAGAATGTTTGCAAATTATATGTTGAATAATTTAGAGCCTGCATAACTAATTTAGTGGCGACAAACGGGCTTACCAGCTAGTTTTTCAGCCCTGGCGACAAAGTTTGTAGCCACCCGTTGTAAATGATATTGACGGTACAAATTGTGGCCGTGATTAGCGCCGGCTCAGCACGACCGAAGATAAGATTGTGCGCATTCCTCCCAAGTCGCAATGAATACCACAGGCGGAAGACAAGCGAATGATGACCAGAAACTTTTCAATCCAACTTTTGAGGATTCATGTTTTATCTTCAACTAAGTGGCAGTATTTGAATACTCTCTTACGTGTTGCTATAGACACGGCCAGACATTCCTCCACCTCATTACTCTGAGTTGTCTCAATACCTCGCACATTCCTCAAATCTTGAACCACCCCACCACCAATCAGCGCTCAACCTGAGCACTGGAAGCAAATCCCGCCCCTCCCCGACAAATCCCTCTCCTTTCAGTTTTAATTAAATTATTAGTCTATAAAGTGACTGGTATACCGGTCCCTGGAGTTCCATACCGCCTCAGGTTGAAGGAGCCTTTCCAGCGCCTGTGATGATGGCTGGAAATTTTCTAGCATCACAAGCAGTGCTCCATTTTCAACTATCATAATAATACATTATGACGACCCACGATTGCCGGGGGAAAGAAAAGAACCAAGGTACAGCTAATGTTTCAATGGTCTTGAGCCTGACGGCTTAGGTTGCTAACTTCTCGTAGATCCGAACTCCCAGCCACTGCCAATAATGGGAAGGATGACTGCATGTATTCCGGCTCAGTCCCCCAGTCCTAAGTTTTTCTTCGTCAATGAGAGTTTGTCGAGCAAGGGAAAGCGTTCACATGTGATGAAGCAATACATTCAAAGCCGGAGGAAAGAAAAAAATGCTGCTCTATTTGATAGTACCTCCCTCCAGTTGCCCCGCCAGCAGCGATATCTCGCATGGAGAAAAAGATTGGATGAAGAAGCTCCAGGAGAAAGGTTCAATGGCGGTGATTACGCAAATCCTCAAACAACTTCATTATCTAAAGTATGTTACGAAAATCGAACATCATGTTACCTAGAATTGCTTCAATAGTATTCCCTTCATTTATTCATACAACGCGATATCAATCGTGCATTCTAACACTCCCCCTCCCTTTTTAGAAAACTGAAGCTGGGCGAATCCATGCGGGCGGGTTTACTTCTGGAGAATACCCAAGATTAGAGAACGCAGCTAGATCGTTATCTTCCCAAAGAACGATTTCTTCTGGTAGAGCGGATCCTTTTGATGCTTTGCCCTGGTCGTTCAACGAAGATCGGCATTTGATGGATTGCTGGATGTCGAAGTTAACCTCCTGGCCAGGGCAAAACATTTCATGAAGAAATCTTTGTTTAGAGAAGCGATGCAGCATCCAATTACGTTTCATGCTTGCTTATTGACATATTCCGCTCGTTATCTAGCTACCGTGCGTCGAATTAAAAACAACACTCAGTGTTCATCATATATCTCTACTAGTTACCGAAAACCTGCTTACGACATACCTCAGGAAAGGTCAGTGCCTGGGAGATAGTGTTTCTACAATGGTATTCACAGCACTATCTATACAGGAAGCTAGGTACGGGAGCAGGCAGAAATCGAGTCATTATTTGGACCAAGCAGTTCGGAATTTGAGGAGTCTGGAAGGGAAACGACTTGCCGGGGATACTTATACCCATTACGCGCGGTTAACAATGTTCAAGCGCGACCTTCCATTTGACATAAAGCACGCTTCGCATTTGCTTTCGTTTCTTCGCAACGCGGAGACTTTGGCCTTCAGCCATAGCACACCCCCATTTACATCCACCCCACCTCAAAGAAAAGCTGCATTCGAATATATGACCCCACTCCATTCAATCCTATCCGGAGGGCCTCACCCCTCTCAAGTACCCGAAATAGAACGAGTATGGGTGTGGAGGTACGAACTTTCCAACCTGTGCCGTGTATCCTCATTGGTTTACCTCAACAAGGCGCTATGGGACCAACGAAACTCGCCAGAAGGGTGCATACGGTACCTTGACAACCTCACGGCAAACATATACGAGCATCTCGAACCAAATTTTCCTGTTGAGTCATTCTCGTGGCTACTGTTGCAGGATATTTGTGACCTCGACCTGAGAAATCCGGACCGGGCTTGGTTTGTGGGCGATATAATGGAGGGTTTCAAACATATCCCTCAGCCACTCCAATTCCAATTCACTGAGCTATTACTTTCTTTCCTCATGTTAAAATCCGCGGATTTTAACAATCACACTCGAGGGATTTGAGCGCCAAATTCTTCAGTTTACTCAACCCGAAGGCCGAGTGCCAGCAATAGAATGACATACCGACGACCTCCGATAATTAAACCCACAGAGATTTCCTTAGTCACCGACAAACGGTATCGAAACTTCGGATCACATCTATGAGACATTGAGCTTCGATCAATGCCTCTGTAGCAAGCAGCCTCCAGGCTATGGATGTGGGCCTCAACTTTCCAAATAACCAGCACGACATGCAATCGCGGTTACTTGGGCGACATCCCTTCATTCCAGGACAACACATGCCATTCCAACCGTGTGCCGTGGAGGAACACGCAACCTTGATATCCAGCTATCCCCTTGACCTAACTTATTTATTACACTCCAAAGTCTCTCTTCTGCTTCAAATATCTTCAAACTTCCCATTTTTTTCTTCCGAGACCCTTCACCCCCTTTTCAACATATTTGACGGCTACACGCATAGGTACACCTTCCCATACGTACTCCTCTCAATCCTGCGAGACTTACTCACCCTTAATAATAGAAAAATCCTACAACCCCCTCAAACAACTTCCCAACCCAATATACCCTTAAAGATTACATGCACCCTCATGGTCCCCACCCCAAAAAAAAAGAAAGAAAGAAAGAAAAGAAAAACAGTGGTACCCGGGATACAAAGCCCGCGCCGGAGAATATATCATACGTCACCATTTTTAGAGCTTAAGCGACTGGCAAGAGATTCTCTCTATTATCTGTCTCAATTCCTCATCGCCATTATCACCATTGCAACAATGATGGGTATGCGTTGTCGATTGCATGCAGTGCAACACTCTCGACGCACCTTAACTAATAACACGGGTCTAAATGCCTAGCCTAATGTATAATCGTTTCAGGAAGTTTTGGGGATGCTATGCATGTGCCCAAACGAAGTAGCTATTGCTGGGTTGCCTTTTCACCTGTTCCTGTAGACAGTGAATGTAGATATGGTCTTTCACATAGCAGGTGCCAGGCAAATGAATACCCATCACTGGGCCCCTAACACCTAGGAAGCATTTGGCATGTATACAACCAGCTCCCCAAAAAGATCCAAAAGGGAGTTTCACGGGTTACGAGTTCACACTCACTCAACGACTATTGAGAACTCCTGGACCCAAAAAATCAATCCCTCCAGGAAATCCAGACGCGCAAAGCTACATTGCATGTCTAAATTTTTGTATGGTCAGTCCTATGTGTTATTTGGATAATAGAACCGTACTGGCGATTCGATTCCGGTGAAAATAAGCTTTTTAGTAGCTTGACTGAGAGGATAGTACTGCCTCCTTTCTTACTAAAATCTATGTGAAATAGGAGCCTGCTTGATGGGAGAGCATGCCTAGAATGACTGAAGAGAGGCGAGCAAGAGTTTATCCAAAAGGCGAATTGATACCACACCTTACCTCGTGGTAGAGACAACCCACCCGAGAGAAATGTATGAAGATTGCATGGGACGGTGAAACTACTGTGTCAACCCTTTACAAGTCGAAAAAAGCTCAACTAACTGCCCACAGCTGAAGATGACAGTTTTGGAAAATTTGAGCAAGGGTTACTCCTGTGTCGGGGAATATTTTCAATCCCCATCTCCCTCTCAATCTTAAATACGAGAGCTATCCTACATTGAAGCCCCGATTGACAGCACGGGTGACATGCAGATGGAAAATCACATTTCGCATAGATCCCACGACGAGTTGCTTGTGAAGCGTCGTACAGAAACCTCCAGTGGTTCGCCAAAATCTCACCCAATTGTCGTCTCGATAAACACAAGAGCTGCGTCATCGAGCGGGGGAAAAATTCCGCCACAGTTCTGTTGCGCCAGTATTATGAGCGCTGATGTGCGACAAGGCGAGGATCTTCCCCGCCCAGCATTTGAAGGTTTGATATTCAGTCTTGTATCCAATACAATAGAAAAGTAAAGGAACAATGAAAGATACTAAATTTTATAAAGAAGTTGTCTCCAACTTTTTCTAGATATGCTGCTCAATCACTAGTCACAATCAGAATGCATGCCATAACAGATCTTGGTCTGGGATTGGGGTAGATCCTTTCAGATAGATTGTGGACGAAGGACACATATTCTAGCCACATTTTATATGAACTACGAAAGGAGGGCCTGAGGAGGAAGACAGTCTTGACTGGTTATTAGGTGCTACTCAATCATTCAATGCACTATTTTTCTTTGTAGAAAAAATGTTTCCTCCTTTAAGGATATCCTAAATCTTGAACACAACCAGTCCAACATCCCATACCTGGACACAAGAAGCATGAGAATGGCAATCCTCTCCCTCATTGTGGCGCCACTTACCTAAATATCCACCTCACAATCCTACTCCACGCCCTCCAGCGTGGCCAGCCATGATGTCAACGCGGGTTTCATCAAAGTTGCAGATATAAACCCAAGAGTAAGATTGGTGGGGCAGTTTTCCAGTGACCAGCTAGCTGACCATGCCATCTTCAAATTCAGCCACAGGCAAGGTATAAAGTAGGGTCCTCAGAAACTTTATTTTTCGGGCAATAGATCATAGAACTCAAAAGAAGGTTCAGTCCCAAGGGATTGGTTGTCTAATCCATAATTTAGGCCGTAGCAATGGGTACAAACATCGCGAGAAATAATCACAGGAAATCCGGACAAAGTCAACCCCATTGATGACATGCGGACACGAACTTGTTGTACCTTTGCGCTACAACCACCACTATCTCAAGCGAGAGGCTTCACCAACGGCAACAGTAATAATAAGAATAACCTTGGGACATTTAATTATGACAGGACTCCCTCTTCCTCTGCTTCTGCCTTGGGATCAAGAGTCACAAAACCTATCGAAGGGCACTTGCGTGGAAGCGAATGGCAACACATGAATCCATGGGCTTTTGCTGAAACCGTGATGGAACGGATTTGGGAAGAAGCGGGCAAGGGACAGTAGGGGATTCGAGGGTGCCAGGAGCCGAGACATGGGAAGATTTCGTGAGCTGCGACGCATAAAGTAGTAGTTAGACATCCCAGTGAAATTGAAGCGAAATTGATTCATGAGGAGCAATGGAATGGCGTACGTTGCCCATAGCTATCCGAATTCCATTTCCCCTGGCGAACTTGGAGGTTCTGGGGGACACGAGAAATGGTACTGTTGTTATATCTGATCAATCACAAACCCGCCTGGGCGATTTGGGCTTGTTTTGGAGGAACGATGCATAACCTCAGCCAGGCGTAATGGAAATGGTCCAGTTCATATTTGTCCCAAATACTTAGCCAGTTACTCCGTAGTGAGTCCTGAGAGTGAGTTGTGTTAGAATCCATGTCAGCAAAATCGCATCCGCCGAGGGACGATCAGCCAGCCATCTTGGCAGGGCCAACTTTGAATGGCATCTGACGCAGAAGTCATTGAATAATACTCCGTAATTTAGCCTGGTTTAGCAATTCCTCGATCAGCGATGCGATTTTGCGCAGGGCCTAACCAGTAACCACATTATTGAACAATCACAAGTTTTACAATTTTGGGCGTGTTCAATTTTAAGTTGTGAAAAATAAATGCCTGAAATGTATTCTGTACAGATTAAACTACTTTTGAAGTGACAGGAAAAATAACATAGCTCGCCATGGCTTGTCACCCGTCACCCGTTCGCCGTTTCCTGTTTTCTGGTGGTGGCGAGGCCAGTACAACGAAAACCCGGCTTGGGTAGTCAAGGGCCGCCAGACAAGGTGTGCCCGGTGTTCACAGGCAGCTCCACTGGGCTCCGCGCACCTTGGCTCGAAGTTTAAACGTGATAGTCCATTCCTTCGGGATTTCGCGCATGGTTATTGGCAGCAGAGTCTCCCCTTCAGAGAACTGGCTGCCCCTTTGGGCAGTGATTCTTCCAAGCCAGCGATCGCATTCTGACTATAACTCTGGGCAAAACCTTGGATAGCTCAGGAGCAAAACTCGCCACTTCGCGTGCTGGCTCGCTAGCTCTGAGAAAATGTTGCCGATACTACGGAGTACGCAAAAAAAACGGGAGAGGTGACAAGCAACACGAATGGTAATGCCACGGCTCTGAGAAGGGTAAAAGCCGATGGAGACCAAAGGAACCGGGGTAGGAATTGAACAATCCACACGATACATAGTACAGATACGTGCAGAATGATGATATCTGAGTGGATCCCGATTGTCGAGGGGAGTCCTCGGCTCCGCGAGCTCTAAAAAAGAGGAAGAAAAAAGAAAGAAAACCAAGCAACCAGTAAACCTGGCCAATGCCAAAACCGGGCACAGACTTGCTGTGATGAGTTCCCAGCTTGGTGGCGGAACAACAACTATCCCCCTGCCCCCTGTACCAGATAGAGCTGTGGCTTGCCATTGAGCAGTGAAAGCTTTCGGCAGCAAATCGCGTGTTTGTCCACTTCATCGTGGCTTGCCTGGCTTGCTCCTTTGTATCGTCGCTCTTTTATTTTCATTCTCCTTCCTCTCCTGCTTTTGAACTGCACATAAATTAAAATTCAACACTGTTCCCCTCTTCCGGGAATTTTTTTTTTCTTTTTTTCCCCTTTTTTCCCCTTTTTATCTGATTCCATCGTGCGCTCGAAGGCTGGCGATATATATCGTTCTTAAGTCCGTCTTTGCTGTCTCTGCTGCAGTTGGCGGCTCCCCATCGACCTGCATTGTGCAGCTTGACAGTGGAACTTAGGAGCAGCTGTAGCAGAAACCGCAGCCATGGTAAGCAATGGTTATAACCCGCAATCTCTCTTCTTGAACGTGGCCGGCATGTTTGCTTCGAGGTGTAAGACTTGAATCTAACATGTACTCGCACCCCAGGACGAGGACCCCAAGAATACCTCCAACTCGGCCTCCGGGCTGGTCTCGACCTTGATCCCCACCCTCATCATCTCCGGGGCCATGGTACTGCTCTTCATCATTCTCCGTCAAAGTCAACGTCGCCAATATGCACCGAGAACCTATCTTGGCTCACTGCGAGAGCAGGAGCGCACTCCAGCGCCATCATCGGGGATCTTTGGTTGGATAACGTCGATGGCCAAGTTGTCTGATGAATACGTATTGCGACACCACTCTCTAGATGCATATCTCCTCCTTCGATACCTGAAGATTGCGACGACAATTTGCCTGGTAGGCTGTTTTATCACCTGGCCAGTTCTATTTCCCGTAAATGCCACTGGCGGCGGGGGTTTAAAACAATTGGATATCCTCACTTTTGGAAACGTGAAAAACAACCTGAATAGATTCTATGCTCATACTTTTGTGGCTTGGATCTTCGTTGGTAGGTCCCACCTGCCCTCAATGGCCGGAAAGTAAGCAAAGTACTAAAATCGCATACCACTCACCCAAAGGTTTTGTTTTCTTCATGATCACACGGGAAATGCTCTTTTTCATCAACCTGCGCCAAGCATACTTCTTGTCTCCACTTTATGCTTCCCGTATCTCTTCGAAGACCGTTCTTTTCACCTCTGTCCCCCAAGAATACTTGAATGAAGCAAAGATTCGACGTATTTATGGCGATGACAAAGTGAAAAATGTTTGGATCCCAACTGACACCAAGGAATTGGTGGACTTGGTTGAGGAAAGAGATGAAACCGCATTCCGCCTTGAGGCCGCTGAAACAAAACTGATCAAATTGGCCAATGGTGCACGCATCAAGTCTCTCAAGGCTAAGCCAGCCGATGAGGAAAACCACGACACAGATAATCTTACTGGTGATGAGGCTCAGGCAGAATCAGGCTCAGTGGCCGCCCGCTGGATAAAACCTTCCAACAGGCCTACCCATAAACTCAAACCTCTTATTGGCAAAAAGGTTGATACCATCAACTGGTCGAGGACTGAGATCGAGCGTTTGAATCCAGAAATAGAAGCCCTCCAGGCAAAACATCGTGCTGGTGATGCTAAGAAAATATCCGCGGTATTTGTAGAATTCTACACTCAAAATGAGGCGCAGGCAGCGTATCAAATGGGTATGTTAACTTGTTAACCTGCGACATCAAAATCATTGGGTGCACTTACTAACTCCGGCATAAGTTGCTCATAACCAACCCCTCCACATGGCTCCACGATACATTGGTCTCAATCCAAATGATATCATCTGGTCAAATTTGAGGATTAAGTGGTGGGAGCTTATTATCAGAAATGCTGCTACCATTGGTGCTGTTGTAACCCTGATCATCTTCTGGGCGATTCCAGTTGCTGTTGTGGGTGCTATCTCAAACATCAACTTCTTAACAGAAAAAGTCCCTTTTCTTGGATTTATTAATGACTGTCCTCCGGTCATTCTGGGTCTTATCACTTCCCTGCTCCCCGCTGTGCTCCTTGCAGTTCTGATGGCTCTGCTGCCCATCATACTTCGATGTAAGTGCTCTCCAATCACTTAACTATTCTCCGCGCTAATTGTTTCGATTTGTAGTAATGGCACGACTTGGTGGCTGTCCAACTACAGCTGCTGCAGAGCTCAGAACCCAAAACTTCTATTTTGGATTCCAGGTTGTCCAGGTGTTCCTTGTTACAACATTATCTTCCGCAGCCTCAAGTGTTGTACAGAAAGTGATCCAAAAACCTGAAAGTGCAGCCACATTGCTGGCTCAGAACATCCCCAAAGCGTCTAACTTCTATATTGCGTACTTCATTCTCCAGGGTCTAACTTTCAGTGCGGGTGCTCTGCTCCAGATCGCTGGCTTGATTGTATCAAAAATCTTGGGCACGCTTTTGGATAACACTCCCCGAAAGATGTACAAACGGTGGTCAACGCTCTCCGGTTTGGGTTGGGGGACCGTCTTGCCGGTTCTGACCAACCTTTGCGTGATTGGTATGTAAACCCATCCCAATCTCATCGTTATCAAACCATAATCAGACTGATTGCTCCCCCTCTTTAGCCATTACCTATGGTGCCATTGCCCCCTTGGTCCTTGGCTTCGCCACTATTGGATTGTTCCTCTTCTATGTCGCATATCGTTATAACATGCTGTACGTCACCAATAGCAACATCGACACCAAAGGCATGATTTACCCTCGTGCCCTCCAACAAACAGCTGTAGGCTGCTACCTCCTCATTCTCTGTCTAGTGGGCCTCTTTGCCATCAGCACTGGCAGTGACAGGAACGCCCTCGGGCCCTTAATCCTCATGATCGTCTTCCTTGTCTTTGTAGTTATCTACCATGTTTCGCTTAATGCTGCTGTCACCCCATTGCTCGAGTATCTGCCACGCAACCTCGAAGCAGAAGAGCAGGACCTGCTCGCCAAAGATGGCTCTCCTCAAGACAGCAATGATGCTGCTGAAAAGCCCGCTGTTGGTCCTTCCAGCAATGGCGCGGATGGCACTGATGCCGAAAAGGGCATATCAAACCCCACCGACCTCCTCCCAACAAAGCCCCATGGCATTGTCGGCAAATTTTTGCGCCCAGACAGATACGCCAACTACGAAACTCTGCGCAAGCTCGTCCCCAAGGATTTTGCCGATATCTCATATACTCCTGAGGTTGAGCAGAATGCGTATTTCCACCCTTCTGTCGGCTCGAAGCCGCCGTTGTTGTGGATTCCACGCGATGTTGGTGGAGTGAGTAGGCAGGAGGTGGCGCATACGTCCAAGGTGATTGCGATTTCCGACGAGGATGCGACAATTGATGCGAAGAGTAATAAGATTACGTGGAATGAGGAGAAAGGGATGCCGCCGATTTATCAGGAACCGATTTATTATTGATCTTCCTGTTTTTTTTTTTTTTTTTTTTTTTTTTGTGGTTTTTGTGTAGCCCTTTCCTATAATCCTTTCGACTTTTGGTTTTCCGTGTCGGCTTGGGGTAATCACAGCATCGCATGCGATGTAGTGGGTTGAGAGCTCTGGTTTGTGGTAATAATAGGCAGCCTTGCTCAGCTACGACGTATTATTTGCCTGATGATACGATTAATCATAATGGCATTAATTGGTGGTATGAGTACGGTTCTGGAGACTTACTTATTTTGCGAAAGTTTGATAGAAGACGTGTGGGGGGATGCTATTGATATGAGTGATTATTTTGTCGATTTGAAATACCCTTCGCTTGTTCGGATATCAATGGGAGAAAACCTCTTCTTTTCCCCTTCGGTCCTCGTTTCGGTGTTTTTTACCTCCATTTTCTTTTCCCCCTTCGGAATTCAATTATTTTAGTTTAGTTTTGGTTCGTAGTCGACGAGTGTCGGGTCGTTGGCATCCAACCTTGAATTAGAGAAATGATATCATTTCCATCTTCGTTGCATTGTCCCTTGCTACGAAGCATCCGCCCCCATCCCCTTTTGAATCCATTATCCATGCAGGAACCCGAAGGCACACAAGGGCCAGAAAACACACGGCAACTGGCGCGAACAACGTGGGCGGCTGTTGGTGTCCATCTGCAGCTGATGCTAGCAGCCCCTTCTTGCTACTCCCTACCGATATAGAGTGGGGATACGGGTATCTCAGATGCTGTGTTGAGCACCAGGGATCCTTCCTCGCATTTAGCTATTGTCGCTTGGGGCTTCCAGATACGACAGCTCCAAGGTTGCGTCACACTGTAACTCTGTCCATTGGGGCCAGAGAGCGAAATGTCATGTTCTTCTACAGTACATTCGATTGAGTACATATTTCTAGCATACCAAACCCTGCAAGATCGCTTGTCCTGCTGATGCCCGCTGGTGATGTGATGTGAATACGACAAGGATGATACGCTTAACTTCCCGTTGTCATGCCAAGAACTCCTGAGGCCCTGGGTTGCAATGGTTGTTGGTCGCAAAGGAGAAGCGGAATGAAAGATGAACTCCGTACATAGTATGCGAAATGAAACGCAGGAAAACGAACGGAAATCACAAATATCTGGTAATCTCGCCGGGTAGATAATAAGAGTTGACGAAAACCTTCAGAAAAACAAGGACGCTGCCCTTGGAGATCCATCCCATGTCACAAAACTGTCATTCGCAACATCCCCTCCATCCAAACGGCCAGCTCTTCGCGGGGGACTAACAATAACAATGGAATTCGAATGCGCCCGCTGAGACCGAACCGGACTCGCCTCCAATGACCCGCCAACATCGACATTGATCTCCATCTCCGGTTGATGCCCCTGTTGTTGGTTGTGCTGCAACCTATGTCCCTCTCCGGCCTGAAAATCTAAGCCATGCCTGTGGTCATTCTCCGCAATCCCGTACTCATACCCATACTCTCCCTCATGTGGCCTGTTCCTCAACGTCCATATATTCCACCCGTCATTCATCGCGGCAAGCTCGACAATATTCTCCGCCTCTGCAACCATATTATCCTGCACGTAAACATCTTGCTCGGGAATATCCTCCACTTCCTCATTCTCGTCCATATCCACGGCTACGTTCTCCTTGTCATCGCTGGCCAGCAGATGGACGTGTTCGTCAACCGGTTTTCTTGCTTCTGCTGGCAGGGGCGGAGATTGGTACCCAGCTGTGGGATCCTGGTAAATGAGGAATGGTTTGGTCGCCTGTGGACCGTCGCGGGCAGGCACAGTCCAGCCTACTGGTCCTAAATATGGTATCCTAAGTGTTAATAATCGATCTCCGGTGTGGATATGCGTATAGCTTTGTGTGGGTTCGCACGGTTCGTCTTCATGCGTGCAGCGCCTGAAGTCTATTTCCACCTCCGACCCGGATTGATTAGACCCGCATTGTTCATGTATGCGAAGATGTTGCGAGTTTTCATTATTTCTTTTCGTGTTTTGGGAGATGGGAGTGTCGAGTGGTACATCGGGGCCGTGGTAGCTACTACAGTAAACCACAGGGGAAACCTGATGACCGCAGAGTTCCTGACGGTTATTTTTGTCAGGAGTATTCTTTTCTCTTTTTCAAATCTCTCCTCCCTTTCAATTTACCTTGAGCTAGAAGCTCAAGGTAAACTACGAGGAATAATTACCTCGTTAACGCCATATCTAGCTTCCGTAATGCCCCTTTCACTTCTCTTTCTCTGCGCAGACAGAGCCGCCTATATCTCATCCTCACACAAGCAGTTAGCAATTTTCCATATCAAACAACTTAAGGCGTAGTATTGTTCTTGGTGATGACTACCTGTTCCTCTATATCGAGAGACATTTCGAAATCAACTGGTTCTACATCTGCCTCTAAACGGAGTCTCCCTGCATGACTCTGCTCAGCATTTTTTTTTAAAACGGGCATCTGTTAGCTTTTTACATTTTCCAGTTTCCTCTCATGGGGCGGATGCAATTTCGCGTGAAATTTCTCGCACAAGAACCTACCTGGCTGCAGAACTGATATTCGTGTTCTGGACTTACCATAGGTATACCTGACGGATCAGCTCTATGAGGGAAATGTCTTGAGCTGTGGTCATGGTAAGTTACATGGTATGATTCCATGATATTTCCCATGGATGCATGTGGATAGATATACTTTCTCGGCACGCAAGCCGGAAAGTGAGATATTACCAGCCCCCTCGAGTCTTTAGACGGAATTGAGGGGTTGCTGGGAAGCCTGTTAAGAGGAAGTCAGAGGCCTATAAAGAAGCTAACAAAACGAGAATTAGACGTGACACGATGCTTTTCTAGGGGAAATGAGAGCTGCCTAGTTAGGGGAGATAGGATTGAGGAGGCCCCACGAGCAAGAGAAAGTGTAGGGCCGAAGCAGCTTGGTGAGTTGAATGGATAGGGGTATGTTAAGCGGATATGTGAGGCTCTCTCCGTGCTATGAATAGGGGCAACAAACCCAACCTATGCCTCGCGCTGGATGAATAGACGTGCCGTGATTGCTGCTCAGAAAAGTGTAAAAATGATATACACTTAGGGGAAGAGAGGCGGAAAACTGTCGTTAGGTGTGTTTGTATCACTCAGGGCTATATCTATTTTACTGACAGGCGGGCTGTCCAACAGTGGATCAAACAGTTGCACTTCTACGTCGCGAATTATCTCCTAGCAACTATCATCTTCCAAAACTCTACCGAAGGATAACGCAGTACAGCAAACATTTACATTCTTCAGTCTTATACCCACCCTTCCTCGCACTTTTCAGGGTGATTAAAATGGACGTGGTCCTATTTCTAGTCTATTTCAAGTATAGTATTGCTTTTGCTCATTATTATATCTCAAATAAGTAATATAAGGAAGCAAGATAGGTCGGACAACCCCAAAGATACATACCGCATGCCCATAACTAATCTAATCAGATAACACGCGCAAAAATGAAAACGAAATGTGTGAGATCCTGTCCGACATATTACCCCTTAGATTTTTCATGACGATGTGATGAGCATCCACTCCACCGAACTAAGGGCACTGCGGATGAATCCCGTTGGGTTTATTTTCCGACTGAACGGGAAACAAATATCTCTATCCCTGAGAAGTGTGAGTTTATTTTAGGACATGCAACTGCTCCATTTTTGATCATTGGCTTGGGAAATATGATGGCAGGGAGAAATACAGCAGTATTTGTTGACAAACGCAAAATGCGGATTGAACTTATTAACAAAATAGGCGTAGAAACCCATCTCATTCCCCCAACTTGTTCTCGCTGTTTCTCAAATTACTTCAGTAATCGAAGGATGCCTCGATTGCACTCTTCTTCGCCCGAGGAAAAGGGTCGTTGTGTTTTTCTTTGTCGTTCGTGGGCTTTCCACGGTCGATTTACTCTGCTCTCTAATCCAAATTTATTATAGTTACCGCGTTGGATTGCCGAGATGGGAGGCAATATTATAGATTCGTTAGATTTCCAAAAGGCATGAAATTGTGAACTGAAGACTGTTGATACGGGATTTCTCCTTTGAGCCTAGTGGGGTCGAAAGTACGATTCTACAGGATTGATATGGAGAGCTTTCAAACCCCACAGTTAACTCAATTAATCATGTAGGGGGTCGGATAAGGATAGGAAACGCATAATACATGCGCGATGCAGAAAAAGGCTAGGACGGAATTTAAAAAAACAAAGGAAGTAGAAGTGTGAGTATAGCTCCCTGTTGTGTGGAAAGCATGGCTAACAATGAAAATGCTGTTTAGTGTTGTATATACTCATATCGACTGGGAATAAAAAGTCTTCCCATAATCCCGCCCAGTTCATCTTCACCAAGGCCACCTTGTTCCAGAGCTTATATCTCTTATTTTTCATCTTCCCCTTCCTCGCACTCATAGTAATAACTCAAATCGTCTTCCTCCTCGATTAGTCGTTTTCTCCATTCGTCACAATCGACTTCGATGGCTTTAGCCGTGTCCCCGTTCCATTTCACGCTCAGTCCCTCCCCTTCCAGGGCCCGCACCACTGTATTGGCGACATCCAGACACTCCGCTCCCCGTCCCGGAAACGTGCCATAATAAACCATGACTGTTGCTCCGGGGTATTGGACGAAACATTGCGTCGTTTGCTCGTGGAAAAACGCATAACCAACTGCGTCCTCCTCGTCTCGATCCATGCCGATCTCGCTGACGCCGCATGTACGGCAACAGGTGAAGTTCATGCGAGCTGGTATTCTGTGGTTTTTGTCGAGGGATTCGAATGCTGCAGCGAATTTTTCTGCGATGGTCCTTTCATCCTGGGGCCACGATTGCTGAGCGGCGAGCTGTTTATTCCAGAGCGGGATGACGATCTGACGTGCCAGGCTCTTTGCCTCTTTGGAAGTTATATTCTTGTCGAATTCAAGGACCTCCACTGTGCTCGCGATCAGATCGCCGAGGGGCCAGAACCCGGACTTTACTCGCCATTGGGCTATATCGGTTGCATATGCTTGATTGTCACTCATGGCTGAGGAAGGAACCATAGAAGTCAAAAAGGGAATCAGAGTTGTTCATGGTTCCTGCTACTTCGAACCTATGTTATATATATACTGCCTCCTGGGTAGCGTTGATTGCAAAATTACTAAGCGACTACTGCCTAAATATGGGTATATTCTCGTATTCGCAGCGCAAGCTTTCGATTTAGGGAAATAGAATCCACGAGCACCAAGCTAAGGCACGATTCTGGCTGATCGATATGAACTTTGTCCAAGCAATATTCTACATGTTCTGTTTCTGCCTATTCCAAATGCCTTCGCCTCTTCTCAATGGTCTCGAGTTCTCCAAATACGAGACTTACCACAAGATTAGACCCTATCAAACATCGTATATAATATTGTGAGTGAGTAGACATTGGGCATTGTCATCCCTCATGTTGAGCAATGAATCTTCCCAGGAAATAGAATTACTTCATACTGGAGATCGTAAATGAAGATAGGGCGTTTGTCACGAATATCATGAATCTTTGACGTGAAGGATAGACCGACTGCAAAGGAACTTGAACTTCTTGAAGAAGGCCAGTTCAATAAGACATGAGCGGATCAAGCATTTGGCTGATATATTATAGCTCTTCCCAATCCGTCAAAAGAACACGTCCTGTCGGTAGGACCAGTAGAGGGTGGACAGCTGAGCCATCAGATAACTGAACTCGCGCAGGTTTGGGAAGGCCTCGTACTTGCGAGGCTCTATGATGGTAGTTGCTGTTGCTGTTTTTGATGCTGTGTCCCAACAAAAAATAAAAATTTTTCTTCACGCGCTTCCCACGTTAGGCAGCGCCATCCCCTCGTTGTCCCTGCTGGGAATCGGGTATGTGTTCAAATTCTGAATGCAGAGTGGAGTAAGTACCAGTTTGCATATTTGAAGCAAAGCGTTCCCGTCGCCAATTTGGTCAAGGTGCTGTTGTCAAGGGTCAGCAGTTCAAGAAATCAGAAATTTGTCAAGACAAAGCCTGCATAGGATGCTAGAGGGAAGGTATTGCAATACTCTCCATACACCTCCAATGACTATCTCATAGATCGTCAGTCAGATGGCCATGCTTCTCCCGAAACTCCATGGGGATCAAGCGTCAGGGGATTGATTCGAATGGATAGAGTGTTCCCCTGGTTTGGCTGGTTGGTATTGGATTGTTGGGAAATACCTAGGACTCGCTGGAGATGAAATGGCAGGTTGTCGTTCTAGATGGATCCTTCATTCCAATATGGAGAACTATCCTATGGACCAAGGATTGAGGTTGACCACTCGATGTGCTGGACAGTGGACTGAGATATGTCAACGAAAGATTGATTTGCCCTGTCATCTAAGGAGATGAATGAAGCATCACCCACCCGGCATTGTAATAGCTTATTCTGAAGAGAATGCGCTGATATTCAATCGTAGATGCTCTTCATAGTTTTTCACATACAAAATCCCTTTGTTTTCAAGTAAGACATGCGATATTTGGAGTTGTAGGAAGGATAACATACACTGATAGTTTCTAGAGCAAACAAGTCCTACGAAGGATGTCTCAGAAGAACGGCAAACTGCTCCAGGGTGAATAACACCGGCCAGCCCCGGCTATGAATCGCTTTGAAGAGGGTAACAATATATTTCTTGGGTGCTGAAGCCCACACCGAAATCTTACATCCATTTAGCAACCCTCCTGCCTTCAGGTTTCCGCGACCCTTCCTGTGAACATTTTTGTTATACTGGTCAACTCTCCGGTTCCCTCTCTGTTAGTACCCCGTATCTTTCAGTCGCAGCCGTTCCAAAAAGAAATCAAAACAGAACTAAGAAACATACAGCACGGAAAAATAGAAAGAAAAAAAATGGCTGGCGAACCTCCTCGACGTAAGAGAATTCAGCCTGACGCTGACATCAAGGCAAAACAGTATGCGGAGTTCGAGGATTGGGCGATAGCCAATATCGAGAAATTTCATATGCAGACTTGTCTGTGTAGCAACCAGCGCACAGAAGATCCTGGAGCAAATCCAACTGAGGGAAGTTGCCATATACGATGCAACACGAGTTGCTGAAGGGACTCAGGATGGCCACCTGCTGAGCCAAATCGAGAAGGAAAAAAAGGAGCTGGCTGATCTTTACCGGGACGCTCAAAAGTATCGAAATGACTTGGAAAAGGCGAGGAAACGCTGCGGCCAGCTAAAGCTGATGCTGGAAAGCGGGTTGAGGGAACTTCGACCAAGATTTGTGGGTGCCCCTAAGGCTTTTATTTCGATCATAATGAAGTCTAGCTAGGCTTAAATTTTTATTTGTTATTTTTAAAGATAGACCTGAGACTGACTGTGAATTCCACGAGCCGAATAAAAACAATAGATCACAAAGACACGCTCTACCCGTGGGCCTGACACCGAGAATACCAACCGTTCACCAGCAAAGCGCGCTCGTCATGATACTCGCAGCAATCACAACTGATATTATGGCGAATGACTCTCATCCAACTCAGTAGAACCCCGAGGTTGCAAAGGAGATGGAATACCGAAGATTCGGGGTTAATATAGTAATCTGTAAGAAGGTCGAGCACTTGCAGATGGTTAAGGAAAATCCCGAAGTCGTGAGAAGAAAGACATGAAAATTGAGTCTTGATTAAGAGAGAATGGGGGTGGATTAGTTCGTATCTAATCTTTAGTTAATCTTCTTTCCTCCTTGCTCGTCAGATGTGCTTTTCCCCGTAATGAAGATTGAATAGCGACTCTCCCACAAGCTTAAATCGGATTTAGGAGAGACTCGAAAGCTCCACTGAGATGGATGATAAGATCAGAATAATGACTCAACATTAATAAAAAAAAAAAAAAGAAAGAAAGAAAGAAAAAAAAAATAGCAAGAATGAAAAAAGGTAAAAGAGAAACAGAGTTAGTTATTCTACCCCATCCAGTATTCAAACATCGTCAAAAGTCAAAAGCGGAATAGCACACCAAACGGATTCCAATTCGATAGGACCATTACGACTGGATATGCGATGGAACGATGCGATGTCCTATAGTGATATGTATCGCAACTATGGTTGCAGAGGGATAACATAGTAGAATCTGGTTGCGAACCGCACTCTGGGTTTCAAAGGCGAGATGCCCAAGTCTTTCTCTCAGTCGGCTCACTTAATTGGAAGAACAATAGCTGCTCAGTGATCAGTCCGCTGACAATCTCAGGATCATTGTCGACCAGGAATTCATCAGCGCAGAAGCCTGCAACATCCGTTTCAGCGCAATGTGGACACCGACACGTATGCTGGAGACATTCGGTTCGATGTCTCCGATCCTGAGTCTGATTCTATTATTTATTTGTTCATTCTTTTTTTTGTTCCTTCGCACGTCGATCATTGAAAGATGGGGGGTTCTTCTGGTCAATCACTCCGAACAGCGGATTTCCTAACAGCGATGGCGTTGCAGATCGTCCACCCCTGGGAGTGATTCGGCTGATCACCTTCTCCGAAAACAGATCGCGAAGGTTCAGGAATGTTGAATTACGGCGTATCACCATTGAGAAGTAAACAATCCGCTGGCTGGCTGGCTGGCTGGCTGGCATACAAGGCTGGACCTGACCGGTATATCCGTTTGGCTAGTTATTTGTTTGCGGACACGCGCTTTCGTAAATTACTCCATGCAGCACTGGTTTGTCGGCATTCGCGGGAGTTGACGTGCAGCGGCTCAACCGGGACCAGGGCTAGCAGTGTGCAGTGTGCAAGGTTCAAAAAAGAAGAACTACAAGAAGAGATACATCCCGTCCCGATGCAGTGATGCTTGCACTCTTGAAGAAAAGAAAACACAGCCTGGTACTCGTACAGCACGTTACAACGCATGTGGGGGGAAATATAGTTGACATATAGCAGGGTGACAGTACGGCGTTTTGCTGCGAAATACCGTGAAAAACGGTCATCTGCCCTTGTTGCTTCATTCCCCTGCGCTGTCATTCGTTCTGTTATCACTGGAATCCCGAAGAACAGCAATAATATCGATGTTATTATCCCCCGCCATCCATTCGTCTACATGGACTATTCGGGACAAGTGGTGGAGTTTTCACATACTCAAATCCCCGTCGATTATACTTTCGTTGGCATTTGAGAGAACCATGTCCCTTCAAGGATCAAAACCAACAAACAAAGAAGACTTTCGAAAATCCAAAATCGATTTCTGCTGCCATACAGTCATCATGATATGATTGATATCCTGAAACGGCTTTTGCAACTAATCAGGCGAGAAAACTTGGGACTTAGGTGCTAATTGATTGGAGAGGGGGGGGCAGCAAAACCCCTAAGCTTGAGATCATGTTCCCTTGCCAAAGATTTCATCATTCTCTACCATCTCTTCTTATCATGGCCAAAGCCCAATTGGAGAGGCATTCATTACTACTGGATGGGATTTTGAACGAAAGCAGAGAGCGTTGTGCACCTCCCTGCTTTCCACGTTAGCGGCTCTAAAGTGAAACGCAAGCATCAACGTGAAACAGACGGGATGGCGGTTTGACCTCCATTTTTTACTGAGGTTCACATGCAAGCAAGTCTCTGATTTTCTGCCATCCGCAGATAATAGCAGTTCGCCGTTAAAACCCTTGTCAATACCCGTCCATGGTGCGAGTTCATCAATAGTATATTACAAATTTCCGTACCGTGGTCCCTTGTTTTGCTCCTTTCAGGCTTCGATAGCATTCATGGGCGAGAAGGTAAAAGGAACTTGTGGAGATCTGTTTTTCCCCCACAGACGAAGGCACTTTGCTGTCCAGTTTTTGTTACATGCCTGGATCCTCGTCCGTTGAAATATAGATATAGACTCTCCGTCATAATGGTAATCCAATAGTAACCTGACAGAGTCCTCCAAAAGAAAGATCCGAATAATAAAAATCACATGAAAGGGTACAAAAAGGACATAATGAAGAAGAAACAAACATAGGGATAATGAATCCCCTGACGCGGTCATCAAAATGGAGTTGCGATAAAAAATTGACCTCAATTCGTAACTGGGCCAGCACAGCTGCTCTGGATAACTGTGTACGCAAATCTGAAATGCAACCTTGCAAAATTGTCCCTTGCTTACACGCACAAATCCCGAGCTGACGATGCCCAGGCACACATCTCACAGGAGAAAACATGCTATCCGTCCGGGAAACTGCTGACACCTGCTTGACCGTCTTTACCAACCAGCAACTGTGAATACCCCTTTCAAATGGCGATTCGTGACTCGCCTGGAGATGAACTGGCATCAGGAGCGGATCCTCATCTCTGCCTGTCCACTCTTGTACTGTAGATGACAGGATTCTCTAAAAACGTCCGGAGTGGCCGAAAGATAAGGACCTCATTGCGTAAGGGAGCACTCTCCCAACGTTGCCGCAGTCGTAGGCGCCTTAATTGGATATTCGACGAACAGTCTTCGCTCTTGTACCGAGCTCCTTTGCATAGGTTATGCGAATTGGCCCACAAATTGGCCGGTTGTACTGGATGGAAGACTTTGACATTGGCTACTCCAGATATGGCCCCCTTCACCCACAGCGATTTGGAAAGGTGGTCATTAGAGTCCAGGCGATTCCAGGCGATTGACCAGTTGTCATCGCATTTTTGAGCAGTGCCGTGCTGTCTGAAGCTGATATACAACATTGCCAATAACGGCAGGGTGCTTTCGAATCCTGGGCTTTTATGAATGACCTGCCCACTGCTTCCCAGAAAGCAAAGAAAGCATATATATCTCTCGCTCCTTTCTGCGTGAACTCCGCTTGTACGCAGTAAATATTGAGTTTACCGGGGCCAAGACTGATGTCTGTGCTACCCCTCGATCGCCGTGTCACCTTGCCTCGATTGGCCGTTGTCAGTTTTGCGCCGCGGGTCTCCGAGCGATAAAACTGTTTGGAGACTACAATATCCATTAAGATGTAATGATATCCTTTTGGAGACTTGTCTCAGCAGTCTTGGCCCCACCGCCAAGTGCCTACTTGAGAGAAAGCATTCCATGAACAGCGATTACCACTACGCCATCCAAACCACCCTCAGACAGAAGTTGAGTAGGGTCAGGAAAGACCTAACAAGGCAGAGATACAGAACTGATAGGAAGACTATGGATAGAGGAAGTTCAGGTGGAAAGCAAACAATTCATGCAAGAATAACGTGTCACAGCAGAGCGTCTCTTGTAAGAAGAGTTGGATTTCTAAGGAAAAGAGCACATACAGGAGTTTCTATAGTGGTGCGCTGCATAGCTGCCTGAGGGCGGCTGGGACAGTCTATGAATAAATGAATCAATCGGCGGACAACCAGCTCCCACCTCCACGTGGTGTCCGCTGGGAACTCTCAGAGAGACAGTATGGCTGTCTCTGAGCGTCAGGAGGAGCCCAACAACGTGACATCGAAACGGCGGGAAACAATCTCGGAACCTCAGGAAAACCAAACATACAGCCCCAGTACCGAAAGGAAGTCGTGTCCCCCTTTACGTACGCCCTACGATGGAAAACAAACATGGGAATTTCATTTTCCTGCCCGACAACGCAATTGTGGACGGCACCGATCATTGCCCGCCGTCCCCGCGGCGGGCGATGGCAGCACGGTAACGTTACATCCTCTCAATCAGGTCATGCTTGACCACTACCGTGGCAGATCGCAGGCGGTCGAAAAGACTAAAGGAATCATAGAGGTACTAAACGAACGAGACTGAAAGTCGACCTCACGAGTTACAGACATAGTCTGGACGACGCGACGGCGGGCACGTCAATCAATTCCAAGCAGTACTTTAAAATCAACTTGGAATGCGCCGACAAACTACTTTGTTATCCGTTCTACGGCATATGCTAGATAAATTCTTCCGCATTGCTTCTTAAAAACGTCTTCTGCTCATTCCCAGCCGGTAGATGTGCCTCCTGCGCCTTATTCTGACACGTTCAACATCTTTAGAGACAAGTCCCACAACTTCTTTTCGCCCTCTGGATCGAACGCGTGTGGTGCAACACCGACCGCCAGTGTGCCACCCTCGGGGATCGGACCAGCTTCCTGGCAATCCTCCAGATAGACACCACCCTTGCCTTCCCATTCCTTGCCGAATGCAGCCGTCATGGTGGTGGCGGCGCCCTATGCTGGGCTCTTGACATACTTTTGCGCGGGCTCACTCGAACCCCACTGCTTCAACGTTTCCGGGTCGACGTGGCGCTGCAGGCCTGTGGCAACGCCGCCTGGCATCAACGAGAGGCCGTGCAGACCCTTGGAACCGTATCGGCGCTCAATCTCGTTCGTCATCCAAATACAAGCCGTTTTGGCATTGCCGTATGCCTTCCACGCCTCGTACTCACCATCAAGGTTAATGTTGTCGAGGACGACGGAACCCATGTGATGGCCAGCGGAAGCCACGTTGACGACGCGGGATGCGAACTCGGGCGTGGAGCTGGACAATAGCGTCTGCTCGAGTAGCTTGTAAAGAAGGAAATGGCCGAGATAGTTGATTACAAGCTGCGACTCGAAGCCATCCGCTGTCTTAGCCTCTGGGCATGCCATGATGCCTGCATTATTGACCAGGACATTAAGCTGGGTCGACTTGGACAAAAAGGCCTTGGCCGCAGTGCGGACGCTTTCCACTGAGCCAGTGTCCAGCTCAAGAAGCTCCACACGATCGGGTTCGAGGATCTCTTTCAGAGCTTCCTTTCCCTTCTCCAAGTCACGAACGCCCAAATACACTTTACCACCAGTTGCGGCGAGGGCACGACCAGTTTCAATGCCAATTCCTCCAGAGGATCCGGTGAGAAGAAAGACCTGGTTGTGGTCAGCTCCAGGTTCAGTTTTCAACAGCAGCAATGCTCACCTTGTCCTTCATGGTACCGATCCGGTCGTTGTCTCTGAGAATGTCAAGAGCTGTAGGACGAGCGTCTCCTGGCCCATTCTGCTCCAAGAAGGCTTGATTACTAATGAGCGGATTGGCCATTGTGGTGATTGTCTGGAAGATTGACCTTGCCTGGCATTTTGGCGGGGAAGTTGGTTAACGGGCTTTTATTGAGTTTTCATCCTGATCGGATACCGACACCGCTCCGGCCTTATGAGTACGAGAAGGCATATGTCCGGGAGACTACACCCCGGCTGACCGCACGAGTGACTCAACCGACCGCGCTAGGAGACGACAGCTCATGCCACGAGAAGGGGTATTAGTAGCCAATCATATACCACATCAGTACAAGATACTTCCTTGCCTAGGAAGGCTTTTTATGATAGAATCTTTGAGAAATTGTATTATATATATATACTTATATATAATTTTTAAAATTGAACTTAGACAGTATGCCTCAAGAGAGGCGCTGAAAGGTGGTTTAGTTCTTTTCCGGACACAGGATAACTGAAATGGTATCCACAAAAGAAATCGGGATAAGTTAGAATCGGGCAAGTGGGGTGACGGGATCAAAGCCCTGGCCGTCAGCAGATTGTGAACGGAATACGAATATTCGAATAACTTTCTGTACACACACTAGCGGTCAGTCAGGCTAACTTGGTGACGCATGGTAGACAACCCCTTGAGTTTGAAATCATCTAGTAGGGTTGCACAATGCTGGTTGCAGCGGATGAATGTTTAATGCGCCTACTACTATCAAGCTGATCGTCCTGCGTAGACAGAGCTTCGAAGGACCAAAAGCACGCGCTTCGTTGCGGGTACACCAAACTTGGTCTCCCCCGCCAGAACCTTTACAGCTGAACAAAGGAAGGCTCCCTCTTTATGCCCAGTTCGAGACGTCCCCTGTTTCTCATAACTGTATGTGTCGTTGACTATAGATAGCTGCTTGGTGCCAATTAGCTTCAAGGGCTTTCATTCCCTGAAGCTCATCTGAACTGAGTTCGGAGCCTCATCAAGAATCTCATCAGAGCGGAAAGCAACCTAGTCGAACAGCCAGCATCACGAGCTTGAATCACTGACATCTGCTGTTCATAGTGCTTGGTTAGAAATGATAGCTGATGAGATATGTTGGCATAAAGCAACCTATAGCATTCATTCAGCACCTTGGCTGCACTGTCATGGATGACATATGACTTTATCTCTCCACTCTCTTCTTCATCCTATACCACTCTATGACCCGGGAGTTCTCAACGGCCTAAATCGGCGAAAGGTGCCTCTCCGGAACAACCTTGATGACGGGTTTGTCTTTTGTCATGCGGTACGCAAAGGCGATGCTGTTCATCTGGTCCATGAATTAAAGCTCAGCTCCTCTTCAGTGAGTCTCAGGATCAGTGATTAGTGGGGATTTAAAGGTCTTGATGTGAAATAGCATGCCCAGGAGGAAAACATGAGGGCTAAAAATGAGTGTGGGATCAGAGATGATCTCCGGAAGTCAAAATGTGTTTCTGCATCAGAAGTTAGCAGAAGAAGCTATTCAGTCAGCAAAGAGCTTCATACTGGTCCTTCGTTCGAAGGTATCCCTTGGTAAATTCAGCATTGAATTTGATGGTCAATTTGTGGAGGGCCGTCAAGGAGATTGTGAATGAGGGTTAACTGAAGGTGTTGGTAGTGGAGTTCCAGCAGAGCTTCTGGCCGGTTTCCTGTTAACTATTCCAGCAAGAAGACAAAACAAGATAATCTGGATCTTCAGCTGTCCAATGAGGAAGAGCATGTTGGTAGGAGCCAATATCATGTGTGTGAACTCAGCAAAATTGTTAACATACATGATGCCCTTTGGACGCTCCCCCTGACTTAGTTTCTTCTTGTCAGCAACTAAGGTAATCACATCCTGAACCTGTGCGATGATTAAAACATCAATGGGATGGCTGGGGAATCTTTCGACCATCTTTCCCATAGCACTGGTCACAGGCCTGGCTCAGAAAACCTTTCAGCGACGGTGCTGAGAGAGTTCCAAAGGCGTAAGATATATCTCGCTTGATATGGGCACGGTATCTTTGCCAATGTTAGCAGGATACACTAGAACCTGCCTGAACGACCATACCGTTCCCAATAATCACGAGTATGATCAATTCCCTTTATGGTTCCAGACTTATGGCGGCGCTGCCGGAGATGTGAAGTATTGACCTCTCCCTCTTCCTGGAGGTACTGCTCCGGCGGGGGTGGAGGTGGCTTATGGGCTCGTAATAACCGCTCTGCTTCAGGTTAGAGTCATGGTGGTATCATCGGAATCGGAGGTTATATCCGAAACCTGTGTAATAGCGTCCATGGCAGCATGTGTTCCTCTGAGGCCGCTTCAATGATCGAGGCCTTCAATGGTACAGGCAAAAAGCCAGGAAGCACTGGAAATAGCGTGGATTTGACAAGATATCAGGCAAGAGAAATAAGTACAGAAACACCAACTGCGCATAAGGCAGAGACAAACTGAAAGAAAGTCTGGCTGATACTAGGCTGCCTCTCCTGTAGAGCCATCCTCCAGCTGAGAATGGGTAAAGGGGGAATGTTTTAAGACCCACGGTGATGGTGATCATTCCGGTGAGGTTTGGCGAGTCGACCCACTTGAAACAGGCTGAAAAACCTGGCTCACCTCAGGAGAGGAAGAGGATGGTTTGCCAGCCATCCTCTCCAGTTGGGGGGGTCAAGAATAAGAGTACGAGTCCGCATGCTGAACCTCAGGGTGATGAGGTGGGTGTTTGCGTGCGTGCATATTTACTCAAACCTGCGTGGCAGAAAACGCCAGCAAGTCGAGAGGAAAAAGCAGTACCCAAAGTGGCCATGCTCTGTGAAGTAAAATATAGAATGGAGCAGCAATCTCTTACCACTTTGAGTAAGAATTTACCTAACCACTTAGGGTAACTACACAAACCGCGGCCAACTTGTGAACGATGAGAATGAAGATAGATCTACCCTCCCTTATAAGCAAGAGCCATCGGTTACCTCAGGTATCCACTCAATGGGCATTCTGTCTTTCATGAAGAACCCTCAATGCATTTGGCCCTTCCTGACCACCCTGATGGGCCTGAGCACAAACATGGCATACTCCGTACGGAGTACATAGGACAAGAGATAGACATGTTTGTCAATCCCCGGAGCGCTCAATCCACTAGTTTTGGCTTGAGTTTCGTCCAGTAAAAATTCAGAGGGTTTTCTCAGCTATTGTCCAAGCAGGGCAAGAGTTGAACAAACTGGATATGGCAGACTTCTTCGAGGAAGCTGAAACCAGAATGGGTGAACTTCGGCGAAGTGGTATAATTAGTGTTCCGTAGCGTGGAGCGCTACAACAAGCGTTCGGGATCCAGATTTGGATTCAACTAATGAGAACCAACGACATAACGCCCCCCCCTTGGCCAAGAGTAAAAAAAGCAAATTATCGAACAGAAAAGAAAGGAAAATGGAATCATGAGAACTCCTATGTCTGGCGGCTTGTCGGCTGATTAGACTTCTCCATCTCCAATAGACCGTCCGCTCGGTGAGCTTGCGTAAAGAAGAAGCAGCTCAGATGGATCTGAAAAACAGATGCGCAAGGAGGAAGTAAAATACGCAACAAGCTTTGTGGAGAAGAATTGATAGACATCGCATCCGTGCATTGCTTGACTGCTTCGGGTGTTTGTATTGAACTGTAACGGACTCCTGAGGAGATTGTGTCACGCGGATTACAGCAGTTTTCCTTTGCCAATCTATTTCCAGTAATGGTAAATAAGGTCCTGGGGCGGGGGGGGCTTGTCTATATATAATTGAAAATGAATAGATATATACGGAGTATATATCTATCTATCTATCTATCTAACCTGGAGGGAAACAAAAACAAAGAAAAGAAAAGAAAATCACACCCCCTGATGTCTTGCAGTGGCGGCGTCCCCGGAGGGCAAACAGGAGCTCCGATTCATCAGCCGCGACCTCGCTTCCAAGGCTCGTTGATGCCCATTGCCTGAAATGTTTCTCTCTTCCCAGCCTTCCGTTTCAAGAATGCCGTCCTATGAAATCCACGCTCTTTACTGCGCGAGTTCCACCCATCCCCCATCCCCCACACCCCACCCGTCACCCGTCGAATCGGGGACTTCAATGCATCAATTTTTGCAGTACGCGGCGTAGACGTAGCGCAGCGCAGCGCAGCGGAGCGCATGTTCCATCGTCCCCCGCAGGAACAGAGAGAAACATGCAGCTGTCATCTGCCGCGAGATCGGGATTTGGATCAAGATCAACTTCATTCAGGGCCATTCATTATTCATGACAGGCCGAATAGCCCAGCCAGCTGTCTTTGCACTCTCGCATCGCATCGCATCGCATCACAGCCGCGCAAACTACAAGCTCACCTCACCAATTTCAGCCTGTCCGAACTAAGAATTGTTCAGCAGTGGGGAGAAAGGGGGGGGGGGGGGAAATCAAGCCGTAGGCACCGATATGGAGCAAATCGGGAAGAATATGGAACCTTGTACGGAGTAACAATCCGACAGATTGGGATCCAAGCCATTCCAACGCCATCACCCTGAGGCGGTCGAGGGCACCAGGCGGCAAAAGCCCTGCGGTTGCGAGAGCTCTGCCGCTCTGTGGCAGGCGATTGTGCGATGGAAGATTCCGGAAATGCAGGAGGCCCTTTTTGACACCTCTTCGATGAAAAGAATATTCTCCCCCCGTCACATCTGATATGGTATAATAAATGATCCATGCACGTCTTAGTCCCCGGAAAGCAACTCTTGCCGAAAACACGCCCCCCCCTTCCAATATCAAAAACGAGAACGGAAACAGGAAAAGAAAGAAAGAAAGAATCAATCCACCGTGACGCAACTCGCTTTGATCGCAGTCAATAAATACTCAATCAATCCCTCAATGCCCAAAGTATCGAAGTGATGCACAAAGAAAAGCTT